ACACAACACAAGCGTCGATGTCATTATTTCTTAAGTCGGCCTCCAAAGCCACAACCGCTCGCACCCGACTAGTTGTTTTCCCCAAACTACAGATGTTAATAAACAAAAGTTTAGGGACAGCAAGCTGACCAGAACTAACAGAGGTGTGTTCGCGGGACACCACTTGTTTTGGTACACTGACGAGATTGCTAGGGTTTCGTCGTTTTTCAACCCGCAGCCGGGGAATAGCAAACCCACTTTCCGCCCTTCGTCCAATGACGACAGAAATATTCTGAATAGTTCTCTCCTTCACATGCTGAACATTTTTTCTCAAACCTCCCCGATTACCACGAAACCTGAGCAGCTGTAGTTTCTTAAGCGTCTCTAAGACAGGGCTCGAAGGTTTACCAGATTTCTTTCTCAAACCGAGTAAATAGTTTCTTCCATAACATGGAATCTTACTTTCGTCAGTCCAGGTTTGCTTTCGTAGATCATAGCTCTTCTCTGAAGAAATAGGACCAGGGTTCGTCTCCACATCCATAAAAACTGTAATGTCTATCGTTAACAGGGAGCAATCCGTCGCCGCAAGCAGTATATAACCATGTTTAACCCATTTCATGATAGGCCTTCGAAGTCTATCATGGCGGTGCGCCCTTGTTGAGTAGTGCTTACGAGCCCTTTGCGCTGTCTTTATCAAGGACGTTGCCTGTTGCCTTAAATAAATTGATTTGGTTGATCCAAAATACGTACAGAAATGGCAAATTCTTACATGTTGTTAGATGAAATTTCCAACACTCTTGTACAGTTGAAACTTTCTTTATTAGTTCTCTTAATAGCTCAAACAACATGTTAGCTCAGGGCATAACGCATCATCTACAGGAAAGTGTCGGTTTCCAGCTTGTAAAGGTGGCAATGAACAAGCTGTCAATATTTGACCAACGTCACTATTTCTCACTTCACTAGTGAATCACGTTGAGTTACGTATAACAGTTCCCGTATACTAAGTATGTACCTTCGGTTTGTTACTCTTTCCAAAACGATTTTCTACTTGAACTTTCATACTTTTGCGGTTAAGATCGGCCAACCAAAACAAGATTGGTGATTTAACAATTATAAAGAAACAGTTGCGTAGATTATAATTACAATTAAAAAGTTAACTAATCAGAAAAAAAACCCTTGAAGTTTGTTACATAATCACAGAATAAACAGAGAATTCGAGGAAGAAAGGGCGTACCCTATGTACCACCCCCTAGGAACTGAATGCCGTTCATATCAGTCAACTAGTTATGAATTCAGTGCGGAAGATGAAAAGTACAAATTGTACACATCTTAATCTCCTGATTGAAAGAGATGTTGTACGTGCTAAATTAATAATCAAGACTTACTTTCTTGATCAAGAATTCGACATGAAATTGACCTAAAAAACGAGCCTGAAAAGAACCAAACGTATAAGAAGTAGCAATTTCCAGGAATTCCGGTACGAGATTAACTTTTTCCAGATCAAATTACTCTCTTATTCATCAAGCAGATTACCTTAATTAAAGTATATCTTACCGCAAAATAATTGAAATACCTCACGCCGAGTTTTAATCACCGTAGAATTATACATCCGTTTTCATGTCGAACTCGCAATTGGCAAATATGCCTCAATCACTAAAAGCTAAGTACAAATTTTTGTGTACTTTAGTGGACTAGTTTCTCCCAGAAAGAAAAGATAACAGTTACTCTACTTACAAAGTAAAACCGTCATTGAAATGGGAAATTATCAACTGCTTACAATATTTTTTTTCAACTGAATGGTTTATGCCAATTTGTTATTTCTATTCATATTCCCAACACCAAAGTCATGAAGCTCTTATAATGCTTCTAAATAAGATGTGCAGTAATGAAGCTCTTATAATGCTTCTAAATAAGATGTGTAGTAATAAAGCTCTTATAATGCTTCTAAATAAGATGTGTAGTAATAAAGCTCTTATAATGCTTCTAAATAAGATGTGTAGTAATGAAGCTCTTATAATGCTTCTAAATAAGATGTGTAGTAATGAAGCTCTTATAATGCTTCTAAATAAGATGTATAGTAATAAAGCTTTTATAATGCTTCTAAATAAGATGTATAGTAATGAAGCTCTTATAATGCTTCTAAATAAGATGTGTAGTAATAAAACTCTTATAATGCTTCTAAATAAGATGTGCAGTAATAAAGCTCTTATAATGCTTCTAAATAAGATGTATAGTAATAAAGCTCTTATAATGCTTCTAAATAAGATGTGTAGTAATAAAGCTCTTATAATGCTTCTAAATAAGATGTGCAGTAATAAAGCTCTTATAATGCTTCTAAATAAGATGTGTAGTAATGAAGCTCTTATAATGCTTCTAAATAAGATGTGTAGTAATGAAGCTCTTATAATGCTTCTAAATAAGATGTATAGTAATAAAGCTTTTATAATGCTTCTAAATAAGATGTATAGTACTGAAGCTCTTATAATGCTTCTAAATAAGATGTGTAGTAATAAAACTCTTATAATGCTTCTAAATAAGATGTGCAGTAATAAAGCTCTTATAATGCTTCTAAATAAGATGTGTGGTAATAAAACTCTTATAATGCTTCTAAATAAGATGTGTAGTAATAAAGCTCTTATAATGCTTCTAAATAAGATGTGTAGTAATAAAGCTCTTATAATGCTTCTAAATAAGATGTGCAGTAATAAAGCTCTTATAATGCTTCTAAATAAGATGTGTAGTAATAAAGCTCTTATAATGCTTCTAAATAAGATGTGTAGTAATAAAGCTCTTATAATGCTTCTAAATAAGATGTGTAGTAATAAAACTCTTATAATGCTTCTAAATAAGATGTGTAGTAATGAAGCTCTTATAATGCTTCTAAATAAGATGTGCAGTAATAAAGCTCTTATAATGCTTCTAAATAAGATGTATAGTAATGAAGCTTTTATAATGCTTCTAAATAAGATGTATAGTAATGAAGCTCTTATAATGCTTCTAAATAAGATGTGCAGTAATAAAGCTCTTATAGTGCTGCTAAATAAGATGTATAGTAATAAAGCTCTTATAATGCTTCTAAATAAGACGTATAGAAATGAAGCTTTTATAATTCTTCTAAATAAGATATATAGTAATGAAGCTCTTATAATGCTTCTAAATAAGATGTGTAGTAATAAAACTCTTATAATGCTTCTAAATAAGATGTGCAGTAATAAAGCTCTTATAATGCTTCTAAATAAGATGTGTAGTAATAAAGCTCTTATAATGCTTCTAAATAAGATGTGTAGTAATAAAGCTCTTATAATGCTTCTAAATAAGATGTGTAGTAATAAAACTCTTATAATGCTTCTAAATAAGATGTGTAGTAATGAAGCTCTTATAATGCTTCTAAATAAGATGTGCAGTAATAAAGCTCTTATAGTGCTTCTAAATAAGATGTATAGTAATGAAGCTTTTATAATGCTTCTAAATAAGATGTATAGTAATAAAGCTCTTATAATGCTTCTAAATAAGATGTATAGTAATGAAGCTCTTATAATGCTTCTAAATAAGATGTGCAGTAATAAAGCTCTTATAGTGCTTCTAAATAAGATGTATAGTAATGAAGCTTTAAAAATGCTTCTAAATAAGATGTATAGTAATAAAGCTCTTATAATGCTTCTAAATAAGATGTATAGTAATGAAGCTCTTATAATGCTTCTAAATAAGATGTGTAGTAATGAAGCTCTTGTAATGCTTCTAAATAAGATGTGTAGTAATGAAGCTCTTGTAATGCTTCTAAATAAGATGTGTAATAGTGAAACTCTTGTAATGCTTCTAAATAAGATGTGTAGTAATGAAGCTCTTGCAATGCTTCTAAATAAGATGTGTAGTAATGAAGCTCTTATAATGCTTCTAAATAAGATGTGTAGTAATAAAACTCTTATAATGCTTCTAAATAAGATGTGCAGTAATAAAGCTCTTATAATGCTTCTAAATAAGATGTATAGTAATAAAGCTCTTATAATGCTTCTAAATAAGATGTGCAGTAATAAAGCTCTTATAGTGCTTCTAAATAAGATGTATAGTAATGAAGCTTTTATAATGCTTCTAAATAAGATGTGCAGTAATAAAGCTCTTATAATGCTTCTAAATAAGATGTATAGTAATGAAGCTTTTATAATGCTTCTAAATAAGATGTATAGTAATGAAGCTCTTATAATGCTTCTAAATAAGATGTGCAGTAATAAAGCTCTTATAGTGCTGCTAAATAAGATGTATAGTAATAAAGCTCTTATAATGCTTCTAAATAAGACGTATAGAAATGAAGCTTTTATAATTCTTCTAAATAAGATATATAGTAATGAAGCTCTTATAATGCTTCTAAATAAGATGTGTAGTAATAAAGCTCTTATAATGCTTCTAAATAAGATGTATAGTAATGAAGCTCTTATAATGCTTCTAAATAAGATGTGTAGTAATGAAGCTCTTATAATGCTTCTAAATAAGATGTGTAGTAATGAAGCTCTTACAATGTTTCTAATTAAGATGTGCAGTAATTTTATTGTTTAACAATGCGAAAGATTGCCTCTAATTCTAAAAATTTTATGAAAAAATCCTGCTTTCAACAACAAGTTTGAGAGCAGACAGAGACACCTTGCAATTCAGTCTCTGTAAAAAGTTTTGGTTTTTGAAATATACTTAGAGAGAGTTTACGTTATCCCAATATCCCCCACCAACTATATTTCCCCCATGCTTCCATTTGAATTTTAGAATGCCCTTCAACTTTATCATGCGTTCCTCCCACTAGCCCTCTTATCATTACCAAGGTATGCAGCCACATGTTAAGACTGAGCCTACAAAAGGTGCTGAAAGTGAAAGCAGGGCAGTATAATATTTTTCTTAAGAGACCCTATGTTAAATCCCAGAGGTAAAGGAGTGTATACCCCCCCTCCCCCCCAACCCGCCCCGCTCCCATTTAGATCCCCAAGACATCTCCACGTTTTTCAGAGCATTTTTCAATTGCTGTCGAAAATCCAAAGCCATGTAATCACAACAGTCAATAGGAACAAAGGTTGACGTTATCAATAGCCAATAAGAACTCAGAGTAAAACAGGTAAACTACTAAAAGTGCAGGAATTCAGAGGCGAACAAGTCATGATCAATTTTCGTTTTGTAATCACAGACCAAAGTAAAGCAAAGATGATGCAATCCCGGATCACTTTTGACACTTAATTGAAAAATACTCTTATGTAGAAGTTTCTGCGTTATGGCTCCCTTGTGCTTCTGGCTCATTATTCCCTCGCGTTTCAGCCTGTGGGCTTTGCTCGGCTTCAGAACTTATAAACATGACAACAAACGCACCCATAAGGAGAGCAAAGGAAGACAAAAAATGCCACAGGTCATGCCAGTCGAAAAATCCAAAAATAACACATTCTTCGTTTTGGTCACGAGAGTTTTCTGGCGACGATGTTTTGTTTGTGGTGGGTAGCCACAAAAAAACTATATAAGCTGAAACCAAAATGATAACTGTAAAAAGGATAAAGAGCAGTTGAAAAAAGTTCTTGTCTACGTAATCACACTTGCAAGCACACTTACATTTGCAAGCACACTTACATTTGCAAGTACACTTACATTTGAAAGTACAGTTAAATTGGTGAATACGCCCCTGGCAATTACTCATGCATTTGTAAAGCTTCTCCGAAAGCTTAGTCTTAGCTACGATTGCGAAGACGCTACAGGCGATGCATGCAAACAGAAACGCTTGAGCCAAATCGCTAAACCAAGAAATAATTAAAATCGCACAGGACAATATCAGGCTACCCAAAAGGAATAAAAACGCGTCAAATTTATCTTTACAGTCACCCCCACAAATTTTTTGTTGCATATCTAATTTATAGTAAGCCCAAAAAAGCATCACAAGCCACCAAATGACCAAGAATGCAAAGAAAAACCCTTGCATTACTTTGTTGAGCCCAACGTTGGAGTTAAATAGTACTCCAAAGTAGTTAAAAATAAAAAGAGGCACAATAAAAAAAAGGAAGAAGTTAGAAGCGCCAACTGGGTGTTTCGCATTTCCAGAAGAGGGACAACGATTCTGCTCAATGCCATTATACAACAACAGCACAGTTAAACCAGCTATGATAAACATGAAGGCCGAATCGAACTGAAATGTGAACCTGCTTGGACAGAAGTGATAAAGAGTGGAAAACAATCCCTCGAAGACTAGTCCCCAGGAAAACGCATACCCAATAGAAAAACAGTACCTCTTTTTCATTGCTTTGGCAAAAAAAATTTTCTCCTCTCTTTTCCTTTCTTCCGTTTCCATCGGGTTTTCGGGTTCTGGAATACCTCCCTCTAAATGATGAATGTTAGTTTCAGGACATGACAGAATATGTTCTGGTAGCCTGGATCCCTGAACATTGTCGGCTCTGCTTTTGCAACGAAGATTCACCTTGGTTTCCAGTATCAGTACCCACACAACTAAGATTAGGCCGTGGACTATGTAAGTCAAGTTACTTATCATCAAGTTAAACGGAATATCATGATTTGCAACTCTATAACAAAAGTCGTTGTAGTAACAATTATCTCTGTTCCCTTCCTGAATCATCGTATACCAGTTTGCAAACACGAACTGAAAAGCACCTACCATAAGCACATTACCCACAATTCCTGTGATATAGGAGAAGGTCTTTGGACCAAAGGAAAACCAGTGATATCTGATAACCTTTAACATTTCAACAAAAAAGACACATGTTAAATCAGCATTATTATTGACCTGATCACCAGGCTTTACCTGGGTGAGAGACTCTTCGAACAAAGAATACGCAGCGATAGATACTACTATACCACCTACAAGTGATAAAAAAAATAGGACACAAATAGGCGTGGCATAATTGTAATCAAACGACCTTGACAGCTTTAAAGTGACCTTTTTTGACCCATTAAGTTTGTCGTCATCGAAGTTCTTCAGACCAATTCCAATGAACCATCTAGGGAAAGAATCGGTCAGAGGGGGCATGGAAACTCTGGATAAAGTTATCCGTCCTTTTGTTGCAAAGGAAAGTCGAAGAGATTCCTTCTCGTAATCTATGCTCTCTAGGTCTTCCTGGAGATCGACCTCTTTACAGTTCTGCGATACCTTCAAATAGGCAGCAAATTTTGATTGAGACGTGGCAGTGATATCCAGTTGTTTATTAGAGATACCTTGAGATGAAATGAACTGGAACACGCTCACCTCATTTTTCCAGACATTGACTGTGTGTGGTTCATCAAGCGCAATTTCTGATGCACCTTCGGCTATTTGCACTGTGAAGGAAAGCCCACTGCCTTTTCCCACCACTGATAACAACTTCTCCCCCGTGTTTTGATCATTGGTCGAACGGGTTGGACAAATGCTTAAAGTGTTCCAAACTGGTGTTGGTTCTAAAAGGTTCACGTGACCAAGTAGAGACGAGTCAACTTGCTGGTACAAGGAAACGTGCAAGAAACCTAAAAATAAAAGGGATAACCTAGCACATGAATACATCATAACTACCAAAACAGATGATAATAAGATTTCATAAGAGCCTACCAATATGGGGTTAATGTCCGCCCTAATAGCTCGCTTGCCTGCTGGTCTCTGAATCGAGCCGGGCTTCTTGCTGGAGACACTGACTGTGTTGTATTTGTAAATTCAAGAGAGACATTTAGCTCACACATTTATCCAAATCTCTCTAAATTGTAATGAATGTTAGGGAAGGTCACAGACCCATATTCTCCTAATAAAATCAAACCAGCAATGATGAATGTATCTGCACAGGATAACTGCATCTGCACCAAGTTCCACATATCAGAGCCAAAATCTACTCTTATTTCTCTATACCCTTTAATTTTTATAGTATCTCTTAGAAACATGGTTTAATGGATGGTAGGATCGAGAGTGCTGACCCTTATCGAGCTGGTAGGTCGCCGCAGGCTGTGAAATTAAAAAAAACCAAAACAAAACAAAAACAGTTGTCTGCATACTTAAGATGACGGAACAAGACTAAATCAAACTTTTGCAACGGATATGAGGGAAACCCGTCACTTCCAAGTAGCTACTGATCTCTCTGACTACTGGAATCTGAAAAACTTTTGGAAACGCAATACGGGTGTGCAGGCTGAATAAACTATAGACATCTGAGATATATTGCGCAGTTAGAAGCGAATTAGTCAAACAAAACCAAGTACGAGAACAGCATGGGGGGAGGGCCGATGTGTTTAAAGTTTCTTGCAGGAACGCTAGTTTCACTTTTACTCTTGCAAAGACAGTGTATCCCGAAATTGCTAGAGGTCTAGATTTGGCTTTTTGTTTATTGGTAGAATGCCACAACAATAATGCTCTGGTTTAACCGTAATTTTCAGAAATAAGGTCCTTTTGTTAGAGGCGACCACCCCGGAGAATGCATGAGTGGCGCCGGATTCAGTAAGTTTTAATCATATGTCTCATAAGCAGGAGGAACCCTGATCTGTGCAAACAATGAATTGCTTCTAGAAAAGCTGCAAAGTCCTGAATTGATAATAGTTAACACTTTCGGAAATTTCAAAAACACTTTCGGATTACTAAAGAATAATCAAGAAATTAAATCAATACAGAAATAGAGATTTTGTATTCTCATTGAACCGAAAGTCAACAAAACTTCACTCTCCTAGAAGTAGGTAAGACCACTCTATCAAACTGGTTTTGCCCTCACCTTTCTTCTTGTCATTCCTTTTAGTTTTCATGCGTAAAAGGCTCCCGGGTTTGTCCAGCTTCAAAACGCAAGATAGCTGCAGGTAGCTGTCAGTGGATATTGTGCCAGTGATCTCTATCACCCCACTCTGGACCTTTGAAACAGTCATATCGGACGAACATATTGCTTGAAGATGTCCACAGGCTGTGTGGCACCAAACGAACAGGGGTGGGAAGGAATATAAAAGGCTTGAAAACATCCTAAAAAGCAAGACTTGCGTCGCTTTATTTAGACAGCGCGTTATCTTGTTGGCGGTTCTGCGTGCAAACAAGAGACCTGGCGGGGGTTTTTAAGTCTTATTGATTCTCAACATGACACTCTGGAAATACAAAAGCCTAGTTATAATGGGTTACTGTCTTGTTTTAAATAATTTATTTGATGAATATTCAGTTACTCATGTTTTTTTTTCTGTGGCTGAATCCACCAAAGCTAACTCACTCGCATTCTTTTTTCTTGTGAATGTTTTAACATCTTAGATCACGCTCCCACAACTTTTCAACTTAAAATCAAAGAAGGTATCCATATTTAATGGGAGAAACCTACACTTAATCACCAACTTTATCATGTTCATTTAAAACTTTCCTTGTAAATGCATACTTTGTTATTTTACTATTGTTTGTTTTGTCCAATCAGCATTTTGTTACACACTTAAAATTTAACTTTGCACTTGGTATTATTCAGAACTGAAGATAACAGAAGAACTGTCGAAATATGTTTTTAAATTTAAGAAGTGTCGTTCATTTTCTTCAATTCTATGAAAGACCACTCACAAGAGGCTCATCATAGAGCGCATTTGAACCAAAACGATTTGCAATCTCAACAGCCAACGAAAACACAGCAAAATATTACCCGAGTCAATACGTGCCCGGAGTAATAACAAGCAAACAGTTTGAAGCGCGGGAAAACGCGGGCGACCAAGTCTCGACTGGGTTTTCGTTTTGCATCTGATTGGAAGTTGGTGGGGTGGCCGAAGTTTCCTGAGCCAGTCATAAAGCGAAGAAAAACAAAGCTATGACCAACCCGGATGAATTCGACTCAGGTACAAATAGTTCTCGGCTACGGATCGTTTAGCAGATGTGTTATTCTGCACGAGTATACAATCCAACGCACTGTTTATTATTATAATTCTTCTTAAATTCAGTAAATACAAAGGTACCGTTTAACTGACATAATGCCATATAATAAACTTGTATTCTGGTATTATAACAGAGACTATAACTTCTAGGACGATTATATCTTACTTTCTATTGGTGGCCAATATTGGTCAATATAAATAATGCCCATAAAGATTACTTAGGTTGCAAATGCTAGCTGGTTATACTGTTAGCTGAAGTTAAAAAGATGATTAGCAATACTTGGCTGAGTAAGTTTTAAGAATACCCGGATGCGAGTTTGAAAAGTAAGGTATTTACAAAGTACATTTAACTCTCGTCTAGTCATAATCTCTCTCTCTTGATTATTATACTTGTAACGGGTTTGATAAACAATGATACGTCCCTTACGATTATCTTACACGCGTATCAGTTTTTCAAAACCTTCTATATATTAAGCGTCCTTTGGCGACTATTGAAGAGTTTATGGACCCATTGTCCACCACCACCTGTACTTGCCCCATGCTTTCATTTTAAATTCAGAATGTCCTTTGATTTCACCAAAGTGAAACCAATACAATGCGATATTTACTTGACATGAAGGCCTAATGTTAAATCCTACTAGTATAGGAGACTATGTTCACCTCGGCTATAATCTAAATCCGAAAAATGAAAAACCATTCGCTCTGACGAAGGGCTAACACTCAAAACGTCAGCTTTAAAACTCTGTACAGTGGCCAATTTACATCATCAACTTAGTTGAGAACACTAAATTACCCTGTTATACTCTCTCACCGACGCAGCATCACACTTTCTTCAGAAACTTACCCCCTTTATAGTCTAAATCCCACCATCATCACCACGTCTGTAAGAGCAGTTTTCAACTGACTTTCGAAAAACCAAAACCTCTAAATCCTAACAAGCAATCATAACGATGGTTAACATTATCAACAGCCGATGAGAACACAAATTATACAAGCAAACTACCAATAGCGCGGGAAATCGCGGTGGACAAAGTCGCGATTTATTTTTGTTTTGCATCTAATTGGTTGAAGAATGTGCGCGTTTTCTACACCATTCACAGACCGAAATAAAGCAAACAAAGCAATCCTAGATTAATTTTGACATGCAATTGAAAACTTCTCTATTATGTGGAGTTTTACATTGCACTCCCTTACATTACATATTCTGAAGCCTACGACTTTTACACGGGTTCAGAACTTAAAAACATGATAACAATTGTGGCCATTAGGACACCAAAGGAGGACAAAAAATGCCAAAGATCGTGCCAATCGAAAAATTCCAGAAAAGCACATTCTTCGTTTTGGTCACGGGAGTTTTCTGGCGTCGACGATTTGCTTGTGGTGGGCAGCGATTTGAAAACGCCAAAAGCTCCGACCAAAACGATGAAAGTGAGGAAGATGAAAAGCCTTTGATAAATTTCCTTGGCCGTTGGGCAATTGCGCCTGCATTCACAGCAACAGCACAGCTTTCTCCAGGGCCTAAGTTTAGCGAGGACAGCAATGATGCTACAAATAATGCAGGTATACAGAAACACCTGTGACAGATTGGTGAACAAAAAACACAAAAAGAGCCCCAAGGGTACTACCAGGCCACCCAAAATGAATAAAAACACATTACATGCATTTCGGCATACTCCTTGGTGGATATTTAACTTATAAAAAGCCCAATAAACCATCAAAAGCCACCAAATGATCAGGAATGCGAAGAAAAAGTTCTGTAGTGGTTTGCTAAGCCCAGAATCAGAGTTAAAGAGCGTACCAAAGTAGTTAAAAATAAAGAGAGGCACAATAAAAAAAAGGAAGAAATTAGAGGCACCCACAGGGTACTTCACATTTTCGGAAGAAGGACAACGATTCTGCTCAAAGCCATTATACAAAAACAGCACAGATAAACCAGCTATGATAAACATAAAAGCCGAATCAAACTGAAATGTGAAGCTGCTCGGGCATAAGTGGTAAAGAGTGGAAAATAATCCCTGGAAAACCAAAGCCCAGGAAAACGCATACCCAATGGAATAACAGTACTTCTTTTTCAGTGCTGCGGCAATAATTTTTTTGCTTTCAGGCTCTGCGATGATTGTGTTTGGAATACCTCCTTCCAAAATATGAAAGTTAGTTTCAGGACATAACAGAACATGGTTTGGTAGCTCGGATCCCCATGCCACGGCGGCTCCAGTGCCTGTGCGGCTGGCCGCGATGCTTTTGAACCGCACATTTAGCTTGGTTTCCAGTATCAGTACCCACACAGCTAAGATTAGACCGTGGATTATATATGGTAAGTTACTTATCATCAAGTTAAACGGAATATCATGATTTGTAACTCTATAACAAAAGTCGTTGTAGTAACAATTATCTCTGTTCCCTTCCTGAATCATCGTATACCAGTTTGCAAACACGAACTGAAAAGCACCTACCATAAGCACATTACCCACAATACCTGTGATGTAGGAATAGGTCTTTGGACCAAAGGAAAACCAGTGATATCTGATTACCTCCCACAGATCGCAACATGAAATTTTTAGGTTAGTTTGAATTCGATTACTATTGGCTTGATCACCTGGTGGAAGGAACTGGAGTTGTATACCCATCGCACCATTCATGTTGGCCATTACAGTTGCGCCACCAAACCTTATCTCAGAGAGGGACTCTTTAAAAAGAAAATGTGCCATGATAGACACTACTATACCACCCAGAAGTGATGCGAGTAATAGGGCAGAAACAGGTATGGCATAGTTATAATCAAACGACCTTGTCAGCTTTAAAGTGACATTTTTTGACTCACTAAATTTGACGTCACCTGACACGTTCTTCAAACCAATTCCAATGAACCATCTAGAGGTGGAATCAGTTAAAGAGGGAATGGAAGCTCTGGATAAAGTTATCCGTCCTTTTGTGGCAAAGGAAAGTCGAAGAGATTCCTTTTTGTAATCCACAACTTCTAAGTTTTCCTGGACATCTTCGCATATGTGTGATACCTTTAAGTAAGCAGCAAGGTTTGACTGTGACGTGGCAGTAATGTCCAGTTGTTTATCAGAGATACCTTGGGGTGGAATGAACTGGAACACGCTCACCTCATCTCCCTGGACATTGACTGTGTGTGGTTGATCAAGCGCAATTTCTGATGCACCTTCGGCTATTTGCACTGTGAAGGAAAGCCCACTGCCTTTTCCAACCACGGATAACAACTTCTTCCCTGTGGTTACATTATTAGTCAAACCGGTGGGACAAATGTTCAGAGTGTTCCAAACTGTTGATGGTTCTGAAACGTTCAGGTGACCAAGTAAGGATGATCCATCGGCGTGGTACAGAAAAACATGCAAGAAACCTTAAGAGAGAAGATTACAGTTTACAATTCCTATTTAAATGTGGGGATAGTGTGCTACTCTATTGGAATTGCTCGCGTGCTGGTCTCTGAATCAAGCTGGACTGCTGCTGGAGACACAATTTGTGTTTCAAATTCAAGTGAGACATTCGCTCACGTAGCTCATCAAATTTCTATACATAATGGTGAATCTAGAAAGATCCTTGCCTTATATTTCCCACCAGTATCAAGTTGGGACATGACGAATTAATCTCCAGTGGTTGACTGCATTTTAAGACACTGCAGTTAAAAAATTATACAAGGCTTAATTTGAGAGGGACCCGCTTCTCTACTGTTATTAGCAGAGCGCTATTCTGACCAAATGAGCCACAAATTTGAAAAAAAAAATTAAGAGAAAGATCTATGTATCAGAATGAAAATCTACTTTTATTTCTCTCCGTCTATTTTTACGTTTTCAGATTACTGAGATGGCATCCTTTGGAAAATGATTCAAAATTAGAGGTTGTCGAGCAAAAGTCCCCACTTCGCAAAACGTCTTCAACTACGAAAGCACCATGAAGGATAAAATAAGCCTGATATAAGGAAAGATACTGTCTAACTTCTGGACTTCAGACGATAGTGGAGGGATTATTGATCTTGCCAAATAGTTACTTATCTCCCTGCGTAGTCAGAAACAAATTGGTCCACCCCGCGGGTCGCATGACTAACGAGTCAGCATAAGTTTTCATCGTAAATCTCGAAAGAGGGAACTCTGTTATCTGCATAACTGACTGTGCAAGCAGAATACGGCCGCAGGAATAGCTGCAAAGCGGACCTAAATTAATAAGGGTCACCAATATTGGAAATTTCGAGAACAGCTTCGGATTACTGAAGCGGAATATTTTGGTAATGAAATCAACATACATGGTTTGATGCTACTCTGGTTTAAAGATTTAATTAATGTAACCGAAGAAGGTACAATTCATAGACCCACTTTACGGCACTCCTGTCTAGTGCTTTCAACAGGGGTGATCTAAACGCTGCAACAAGAGGTCCTTTTATACGATCACTAATTAGCTGCCTTTTTTCTGACGAAGTGTAAATAGGCGTCAGGAAGTAAGCTGCCCACGCTTCTTTAAATCGGGATGATGGCGGCTTACTTCCTGTCGCCTATTTACTTCGTCTTGTGAAGTGTTTGTTAAACTATTCTATCAAACTGACTCTACTCTCACCTCTTTTGTTGTCATTCCTTCGAGTACTCACTCGTAAAAAGCTACTAGGTTTGTCCAACTTCAACACGCAGGAACGTTGTAAATTATTATCGTCAGGTAGTCTGCCACTGATCTCTGTCACTGCATTCAGGGAATTTGAAACATTCATGCCGGACGAACAGTTTGCCTGAAGTTTTCCCCAGGCAGGGAGGCACCAAGTGAGAGCAAACAGGAATGCATGAACGATAAAGAACATCCTAAGAAGAAAATCTGGTGTTACTTTGAGTTAGCGAGACAGAGCCCTCTTCGGTTTGTTGTGTTACTAACAACAGATCTGTGTTGGTATGCATATGATTCTCCATATGGTGGTTCTGAAGAAAAGAGTTTAGACATAATAAATCATAAATTACCGTCTGGCTGTGAATAATTTTTTTATTGTCTAGTATATTCAGACTTGAGCTATTAATAGCTATAGCTACTGTCTACTTGCGCATGTGCTATTTGCTAAAGGAAACATGAGAGAGAGGAAAACTAACGATGCTAAGTCTTGGAAATATATGGATATAAAGCAAAGTGGGGAAAAATTTTGCGCCGTATTTGAACCTTAACCAGCACGCCTTCATTCCTAGAGGAGTAAAATTCTTAGGATGTCTTCAAATATCTGTAGCACGCTGTAGCACGCTATGCATGCCTATGTTTATTTGGCGTGAATATCAAAACGAGGTTAGTCTCGTACCAGTCCCCACAATTGAGACGAACATGTGCAAGTTGCTATCAATCGTGTTGATCTGTCATTCTGCAAAACTTTCAGCGTTCTTATCCAATTTGTCACCAACATATCCTGTCCACTCATATGTGAATGGGTCAGATAGCATCGATGATCTCAAACTGATGCACTCGTGAGGGTGAATGCAGTAAAACTCGCCGCAAGATGGCTAGTAATACAAGCTGGCGAATAGACGACATGGATGGCGGTTTGGACGGTGGACTCGCTTCAGAATTACTGAATCTGACTGGTCTTGGCAACGAGTATGTGGCGGATGGTGCATACAACATGAGGTACGAATAACAAAAAATTCAAATACTAACTGAGAATGCTCGCCGTGTACCTTCTGATCAAATGGAACATAACTTGAAAAATGATCAACTCGCTGACACGTAATGTTTTAATTTTTGCCCTCAGAGCTCTCTATAAAAAGTGCCTTAATCTTTTTTCGATTAGGAATGTGAGCTTACATTTTTCCATCCGATTGTAAAACGTTCTGTGGCTAGATCGTGTCGAAAAAAGCGGATGGAATTTATTTTCATGTAACTTTGCATGTAACAGAATGACATGTTACTCTTGTACATGTATCATGATAACAAGACGGGTGAGAGCCATGGGAAAATCTTAAATCTTCAAAATAGCTTGAATTTGTGATAAAGTAAATCTTAGTTTTTTCCCAGCAGCAATTAATTAAGAAAAAAAAATTACATTCTTAGCCTCATGAATGGCTTTGATTCCATTGCTGACCTTCAAAGAATGCAGGATGCTTGTAAAATTTTAACCCCTTTCATTGGCAAGATCTCATTGATAATTCTCCTTACTGTCTGTCATACAATGCTTATGATGGTAGGTTGGAGAATTTGGTTTTGGATCAACTAATAATTGTTGACATCAAATAATTGATGTCCTTTTTTCTTTGTTCAAAGTGATGTCCTTAACTTGCCAATTTTCAAGGATGAGCCACCAGTTAGTCACCTAAACATGGACACCATTGGCTCTGTTTCTTCCGCAGTGACAGAGTAAGTGAGTCATTAAGAAACTGTGGTGCTGCATCAGTGGGAGAGTATTTCAGGGTAGTTTAATATTATCAACTAAGTTGATAACATCAAGTTGTCATTGTCAATGTTGTTGTCATTATCAATGTTAGGTAAATTGATAGACTTCATGTTATGTTTATGTTAGGTTAATTGATAGACCTCATGTTGCAGGTACTTATTGTATAGAATGAAAATTTAGCTGGTTTAAATTTGTGAATTACGCTCAAAGCTATGAAAATGAGGTCACCATGGCAACTTAGCCGCAGCTTATTTCCAGCCACCTGTCAGTATCAACAAATGGGGGCATGGAAAGAATACTTCTCCCTTTATTTCCTTAAACCAGCATTTATATTCTCCATACTTTTCCCTTTACATTTCCTTTGGTATCAACAAAGAGAATTTGTTTGACAATTATAAGCTCCTTAAATTGGTGATCATTTCCTATTTTCTCATGACCTTTACATTTGATTCAAGGGTGAAATTGTAAAGAGAAAATAGAGAACAATCACTCTTTAGGGTGAAAGGGTTAACTAAAATGGCAGAGAGGGAAACTTAACAAGCAAGGAAAAGAACTCATCAATCCTTCTGGTAACCCTCTTGGAGCCCGGAATATCACTCTGGTGAAACTGCTGCATGTTCTTGGTGTTAGCCATGTCTTCTATTACTTTTAGTTAAATTTTTCTATTTTTGCGTTGTCCTAGAGTAACCAATGGGGTGAATTCTTTAGACCCTGCCCTCCAAACAAAGCAGGAAACTCTTATGGCTTGTGGCATGTCACCTCCAACGCAGTCGTCACCAATGTCATCTGCTGGAAGCTTAGAGGTTAATAGGTAAGTACCAAGAAAGCAGAATAAGATTTTGGTCTCATCTTCATTTGTAACAGTGTTCTCCTTTTCAGGCTGTATATGTAACTGGTTACATTTGCAGCCTGAAGCACCCTTTATAACTACCAAACTGAACAACTTATAAAAATTCTTGGAAATTCAAACAGGTTAATAGGATTGCTCTACTGGTTTGAAAATTTCTTTTACACTGTACCTGTCATGCCCAGAATAAGGGAGAACACTGATTAACCTTGTGATTTTCTGGAGTAATTGATTCTGGTGTGTACTGCTCCAGCTAAATTGACTACTGAATGGTTCTAAAATGAAATGAATGTTTTGTTAGGAAGATGATGATGTAAACATTTCCTTTTATATCCCTAAGACTTTCAATTAAAAAAGATGTTTCAGTTTCATTTTGCAGATTGATAGATTGTAGAAAGGAAGTTTGCTACTGATTTTTTCAAGCCTCTTTTCTGCAATTGCTTAGTCCATTTCAGCTCAACCTGCCGATGAGAATTGTTCCTTCGCCTAATTTTTAATCCATGAGTCAAATAAAATTTATTTCATTAAAAAATTTTGATCAGATTTCTTTACGGAAAAGATGAACCCTTTAAAATTCCGGGCACTCCCAACATGTGGCTTGGAAACTCATTTGGTAGTAACACCTAACTAGTATCTTGGAGGCACATCAGCTTGTTTACTCTCCATTCTGTTCTCTATACATTTCCTGATGTGCCGACAAGGAGAATTTGTCAACTAATCAAGAGCTTCTTTAGTTGGTGATCATTTTCTTCATTCTCATGACATTACTGTTTTATTCAGGGATGATATTGTAAGGAGAATCTAGATGCTAGTCACTCTTAGAGGTTAAAGGGTAAAATCTGCCAAAGCCTGAATCTGCAGACTTCCTTTCTGCAATTTCAGCAATCACAGCTCACCTCATTTGCTGAAAAACTGAACACTGATTTTTCAGGTCCTCATTAAACTTGAGGAATTAAGTTTATTTTTCTTAGTTACTGGGTAGATTTGATTTTCCTTATGGAAAGGAATGAAGTTAGTAATGTCACCTGTAGCTTGTGATACTGTAAGTACATTGTTCTATCATTTAAGTATTTGTTATTTTTACCTTTTGTCAACAGTCTGAGTTACAGGTTCAGGTACATTTTGAAAGCTGCAACTTCTCCTACAAGGAGACTTGAAGAAGACTCCCTAACTTATCTTAATCAAGGTACTTAACCCTCTTAACTCTTAACTCTAACATCAGTATGCATTTTCTCCACACTGTTCTCTATATATTTCTAAAGGAACCAACAAGGAGAATTTATTTAACGATCAAGAGCTTCTCTAGTTAATGACCATTTTCTTTATTCTTGTGACCTTAGCATAATTCAGAGGTGATATTAATTGGAGAAATTAGGTTCTCATCACTCTGAAGGGTCCTAAGAGTTAAACTACTGACCTATAGTTGACTGTAATTATGATTCTTCAGGTTTTATTCAAAAAATGAAAATAATTACTGACAAAGACTTTCCCCATGAATGAGATTGCGTAGTTGCATGTAGAAATCACTTTTCCAGTTCTCAGTCAAAATGGAATCATAACTGAATTAAAAAGCTTGTCTAGGATGCTTAGATTTTTAATCCACCTGGTTTTGTTTTCAGGGCAGGCATATTTGTTGGAAATGATGTGCCTACCATTAGAGGCTGCTAAATTTGAAGGCAAACATTTAAAAGTAAGGAAATATTTCTTACTTAAGTTTTCAATCAGGGTTTTTACAGGTCCAGGTACATTTTGAAATCTTCTGGGAATGGAAAGTCCTGGAAAAAGACTACAGGTCCTGGAAAGTCTTAGAAATCTGCTTAACTCAAGCAACAACATTTTCAGATTTTATTTTATGAAAATGTTTGTAGACTGTAACAACAATTGATTTTGAAATCTAATTGGGATTGAAAGGGTTGAAGGTGAAATATAGAGTCCTGGAAGAATCAGTTTGAGTTCTGGAAAAGAACTGGAAAAGTTGTTGAAATTTGTCTCCAAAAAAGGGTGCGAACCCTGTTCTATTGTTGTTATAACCAGTTGTTGTCTGCATGATTTGGAAGTAGTGTTTTCTTTTCTAATCAAGGGATGGTTTTAACTTGTTTAGGAAGCAGCTGAAAATTATGAAGTTACTAGAGTAAGTGTTTGAAAATGTAACAACATATGGGGGTAATTTTGTTTCTTTTTATTTGACAGAGCACAATAAAACTGTGCTTTTATGAGAGAAAACTTCAAGTCCAAGAATCTGAAAAATATGAAGAGTGGAAAAACAACCGACCAGCTGACAGAATGTTGGAAATAGGTTTTTATTTTTAACTTTTCTTTGCTAATCAATTAACGATTTCTATTAATTTGTCTTTTTTCATTTTGAATAGAATTAAATTTATACAATTTATACCGTTCTGCTTTTGTTGTTGTTTTTTAACCATTTTAGATGTTCCCATGTCAAGTGGTGTTTCAAACATCAGAAGCAAAGGAAACTTGTTTAATTGTTACGAATTTGAGTGGGATCCAATCAAGGGAGCAGGAGTTTATGTCATTGTAAGAAGTTATTTGTAGCTTGTTTCTGACAACTTTTGTCTTCTACATGTTCTTCCTCCTGGCAATGCACTAAGTATAGCACCATTGCATCTTGCTCAAAAAAAAAAAAATACACTTTTTTCTCACTTTTTGTTCAGATCAACTGTGTCAGCTCAGAGTTTACCAAGGGAAAGAGTGGTGAGTGTAGCTTTAAAAAACCATGACAATTTTTCTTTTTAGCAGTGAGAAATTATTGTAGTTTTTAAATAAATTTTTTCTTTGTAATTGACCTGGTTGAGATTATTTTAAAAGAAAAGCATTTCTCTAGCATACTTTGCCTTTGACAGAAGTCACTGTTTTTTTACAGGTGGAGAAAGTGGTGTTCCATTTAGATTACAAGTTGACTCATTCTCTCCCAATTCATTGACTGATGCTCTTCCCATTCACAGTGTAGGCTGTCAGGTCAAGGTGTTCAAAGTGAGTCTTAAGTACTTTGTTAGATTTCCATGAGTCTTTGGTTATGCCTACTATTAAGATAAAATTCAAAAACCTTCAGAAAGATCTCAGATTTCTGTACCACCAGCCTGCCCAGTTTCTGTGTTGAATTTTAGAAAATCCATTGATGCACTGGTCATAATCTCTATAGCAGAGATAAAATTTGTTTCCATTTTGTTTCCTCATTGTAAACTGTTTTTGATCCTTATGTTCAGTCTAAAGGTGCAGATAGAAAACATAAATTGGAAATGCAGAAACTGGAACATAAAAATCAGGAAGATTTGGTAAGATTGACAGTGATAATAATAATCAACTGATAGTAAATGCAGCTATGATTATGCTATGAATCTTGTTTTCATGTGAGGTACAACAAGTGGCAAAAGCAGTGGAGCCCCCCCTCCCCCCTCCCACTCCCCCTCCCATTCCCCCCTGCCACTCCCCCTCCCCCTCCCACTTCCCCTCCCCCTCCCCCTTAATAGGTGGTTGACAACCCTCCACTCAGCAGAATCTTGTAATTAATCTTTGATAAGTTACTTGAAAGTTCCCCTTTCCCCTCACAAAATGTTGCCTAGAATTAGACCACAGTTTTTTAACAACAAGTAATGTTGAAACAGGGGAGGAAGTTACATAACAAATTCAAAAAAAAGTTGTGCGTGCCAAGACTTTCCCTACTCTTTGTAGCTAGCCTATAATTTCAAGATATACCCAATAAGAAAGGCATGTAGGCTTACTTTTAGTTTCTGTTTTGATTATGATGTGTTGAAATACCCACTGTGTACAGTTGTATGGTATTTTTTAAAGCTGGAAGCCAGTCTGCAATGTCTGCATTGCAGCTGTCAGTGAGTCTCTCATAAGCCTCTCCTAGTTCTTCTCTCTCCCATAAGCTCTCTTAGCATCCAGCCTCTCTCTGCTCAAGGGGAGAGGGGGGGGGGGAGTGGGAACCATGGAAATTACAGTGTAACAAGAGCAATAAGAGCATTAATGATATCTGGTGGGTGTAAACAAATTTTGGCCACTTGAGTCTTAACCATCCCTTGTCACTTCAGTTTGTAAAAAAGTTTTTCTAATGTTTTTAAATTATCCATTACTGTTTCCAGGAACAGTTGAGACCCACAAATGCATTTACAGAACTAACAGAAGTAGGTCAAGCCCAATAAATTATTGATTGTAATTTATTCATAAGTCTGTTGCATTAGTATCAATGGAAATTCTAACATTAGAAGAGGATGTTTGAGATTTAACCTTTTAGACCTTAGCATGAGTATGCAAATTCTCTATACTGTTCTTCACACATTTCCTAAGGTGCTGATAAGGAGAATTTGTGTAACAATCTGGAGCTTCTTTTGTTTGTGATCATTTTCTTTATTCTCATGACCTAATGTTTGGTTCAAGGGCGATATTGTAAGGAGAAATTAGATACTTAGCTTAAAATCATCAACATTATTACTCTGTGCGTGAGTAACTGGATAAAGCTTTTGGCCGGACACCACTGACTAACCCAAGCAGTTGCTTTTACAGCATTGTTTCTACTCTTACTCAAAGGTGAAAAAGTTCACAATCACTCTTTGTGTAATAAAAAGTGCAGATACATCAAGTTTGGTCAGAGCAGTAATTTTTTTAAAAAGTTATCAAAAGCAACCATGATGGTGGTGGTATATTGATTTAATGTTAATCTAGGATTGAAGTAATCTTTTCCTTCGTGAAGATCAGCCATTAGTTTATAGACTCACTGCTCTCAGACTAGTGATTCCTATGAGATGAATTTATTCTCAATATTTTCAAACATTTCCTATTGAAGATATTGCTAATCCATTTGTTTTCAGCTTCCGCTTATTATAGAAGAGGATAACAATTCTTGCTGGATGTCTCCAGGGTAATGAACGATTCCTTTGAATCTTGCTTTTAAACTCTAAGACCACCCAGTGAGGTCTTCAATCACATCTCTTGCTGAACAGTCTTTCTGCGGGTTTAAAAAGCTTTTCAATAGAATTTTAACTCAAAACAGATGTTTTCAAAGTTCAAACTATGAAGTAAATTTTACTCTCAATAATTATTTTTTCCTTTACATGTAGATTGTAAGATGCATTCCACTAACATGTTGATATGTTGAATTTAGACTGAAGTTGTCTGTAATGATTGTTTTCTTGTGTAGGTCAGTGGCTGGTTCAATGTCTTCTCCATCCTCAGGGGGCCAAGTCATGTCAACGACCCTGTCGTCACCCTCATCAGTAATGTCTTCACCACCTCCGACCCTGCAGATGTCGTCATCTAGTAGTGGGCTGTCCAATTCACCCTCCACAACATGTGGAATGGTAAGTAACATCATTTCTATTCATTGTGTTGCACATTGTTTGGGTATGATCATGAAAACAAGGAAGTTGATAATAGGAAGCGGGTACTCTATGACTCTTGGGATAAGTGTGTGTGTGTGTGTGTGTGGATGGTACTCTTGTTGCTAGAATGAGGTGTTGCAAAGCATTTGAAATTTGAAACTCTCTGAGATGTGATTTCCAGCACTCTGCTGTATAATTGAGTAATTTATTTGTAGCCAGACATTAATGTTAGAATCAGTTAACCCTTAAATCCCTGATCAAATATGTAATTCTCTTTACAGTCAATCACACAATTCTTATAATGTTAGTACAGAGAATTTATTATTGGATCAACTAACTATTTTAAAATTGATATTTTTCTTCATTCTCATCACTTATCTGGTTGATATTGTATTGATATTGTAAGGAGAGATTCTGTCTTGGTCACTCATGGGAAAAGATACTTCTTTTCTTTTGTTGATCACAATTTACAAAGGAGCCATTGCAAATGAAGATTGCTTGGGTTAGTTGTTAAATAAACAAGGATTTCAGAACAAACTAGTGATCGCTGGAGTTCTGCCAGTTATTTGATAACATATTGCTGTTTACTCTGGTCAAAATAATTACCTTTTGACCCTTACTGAACTATTCACAGTCACCTACTTTTGCAAAGTCTGACACCTACTTCAAAACATTTTGAAACCCCTGGATAAACCATATAGTATTGAATATCAGTGAGATTAATTTGTTGTGCATCTTTCAGGGACTAACATCGGATTCTTCTGTGGATGAAACAAGAGTTTGGTTGCAAAATAACAGATTTCAAAACTACCTGAACATGTTTGCTAACTACACAGGTCAGTAACATAGAGAAACTGCTGCCAGAAGGATGTGCTAGTGAATAATTTTGTTTTGACAGCAGGGAGGATAAATTTACTTGAGGCAAATTTCTTTAGTTGCAGCTTACCAGCAGGGATTACTTCTTTACTTGTAATTCAACACTTTGCTTTTCCTTTGCAGGAGGTGATCTGCTTAGATTGACCAAACAAGATATGATTCAAATCATGGGGCCTGCTGATGGTATACGCTTACATAATGCACTTCAAGCAAGGTGAGAGAGATGATTTCCTTGCATATAAATCTACAATATTTTTTGTGGCTTAGTTTAATAGGAAACCATGTTATGAAAGAAGAAGTATGCACAAGAAGCCATTATAACAGGGTATTATCTCCTTTGTTTGAATGTATGTGTAAAAATTAACTTTTTCGTCAGATAAAAGGTTCAGCTAGATTTAGGATTGTTTAGGACACAGTTTTGTTGAACAACAGCAAAACTTTGTTTAAATAATCAGATCATGATGTCCAGGTCATAGTTCTCCTTCAGATTGAATTCTTATATTTTTTTCATTGTTTTTGCTGATATTTTTGTAGGGCTGTGCGTCCGCTTTTAACAATGTACATTTGCCTGGAATCAGCCCAGCAGAACTCAGGAATGAAAGAATACCATGCTATGTTTCTTGAAGCTCTTAGCCTCAGTGAATTAAGGAAGAAACTGGCATTAAAATGTAACCTTAATGCTGAGCAGATTGTCGCTATATACACCTTCAGGTAATTTAGTAGAAATGAAACCTGGAAAAATTGTGCATTTTATGTAGTCAGATGATCATGTAGTGGCTTTTGTTATATTGGATAATTATGATAAGTATGTACCACACTGGTTAATAGTACTTTTTGTGTGAGCTAATTGGAGTGTGCAGAAGTGAATAGCAAGTATTATTGATTCATATCTGAGCAGCTGACAAGACAAAATTTTTTGGGTATATATGTGATATTTAGTGAAACAATTATTCCCCTCAGTGCCGGTTAAAATATCTACCACCATTCACCTCCACTGTGATAAGTAGTTGTTTATTATCACATCTCATGATTAAGTAATACTTTTTTTTTTCCATAGACAAGGGCCAACTGAAATTTATGTTTTAGTTGACGATGAGGTGAGAATTAACACAATAACTAACTGTTAAACTTAATGTAAACCCTTGTAATTAAGGGGTGCATAGGAAAAAAGCCTTCAAACAGATTTCTAGATTCTCCTTCTAAATTGTCTTATATTACCTGGTAAAACAGAAGGAGATTCTTAAGTACATGTTGCATTTATTAAGAAGTCAGTTAAGGTTTTATTCTACACACCCTTTCTTTCATTGTAAACCTATTTTGTGCATTAAACCAGTCATTGTTGAGAAGTGGACATGTCAAATACATTTTTTCTACAAGCCTTGTATATAAATGTAAAGATTAATTGATTGAACCTTGTACTGGCCTAGCTCCCTGACTGTTTAACTTCTCTGGCTCAGTGCCAGAATTTGGAATCTGAAGTTCTGGGGTTCAGTTCTTCAAGGGGACTCTGAATATTTTTCTTTTTTCCACACTGGTGACAAGCCTAAAAAATATCTCCTTAAGGACTGAAATATTTTAATTTGCTGTTTTAGATGGTGAGGAATTTTGCGGATGAAGGACATTTTATTGTACAACTAGTCAGAGGTAATGTCTTGAACACATTAGGTTGAGAATAAAGAATTGCACTTGTGCTCTGACCACAATTTCTTCATTGTTTTTTTTTTCCTTTATTTTCTGGAACCAGTCTTGGAAATAATCTCATTATTTGCCTTATGTTTCCAGAAGATGACAATACATACCAACTGATTTTAAAGTAAAACCAGGGAATTACCAGGCCGAGTCCATGAATTCATAGCAAGATACAACCAATGCAGTTTGCTGTTTATGTAGTGGATATGAATGACTGTTGGCCAAAATGAAGCAACCTCACCTGAAGGAATATTAGGAAAGAGTTGCTTTCCTTAGAAAGGAATAGTCAAGATTGGTTGAGGTGGAGAGAGACAATTCAGGATTTAAACATAATTTTGCCCACACTATATTTATGGAGCAACACTGGAGTGATCATGGAGCAGTTGATAGAACTATTTTTAGATGTTTTGCAATATTGTTTCAGTATTGGGAGTTTTTCGATAAACATTGCTGGTGGAAACCTGGTGGACATTATCATGCTAACTAACAATTGAGAAAATCATGGAGACATCATTTGTTGAGATGGATTCCACATCTCAAGGCACATTAATTCATATGTCCATTGTTCCAGTTGAATATTTCTTGGGCAACAAATGATAGGAAAGTAGTTGCATTTATGATGCCTAATGCACTGAGGAGAAGAGAGAAAAGCATTGTTACAAAACATGTACCTAGTAGGGCCATTCAGTGTGTAGATATGACAGCCAGTCACAAGGGGCCATATATCCATGTACCTTATACTAACCAAGAGTAAGGTCTATGTTGTACGTTTCAAACCAGATTTAACCCCTTCAAATTATGGCCCAAATGTGTCACACTTGGGGAAAATTGATGATTACAGCGCAGACAAGAAGATGAGGACAGCAAGATCTTTCTGACTCTTCTTTGTGTCTGACTGATTTGGGAAATGATCTCTAGTCACACCAAACAGATTCAAATGAAATCAAAATTGTTTTCAGTTGCTGGAAGGTGTATGTTAACACACAACTCTAAGGAGAACAAATAGATTTTAACTTTTACCTTTGGCAGAAAGTCAGGAGCAATCGGCAATAGATAAGGAGAGATTTTTACAGCAAAGATATGTTTTACCAGTAACTCTAATCTACTGTGTGGCCTGCAAAGTTAGCCAACCACAGATGCATATTGACTGGAAGATACAGTGGGATACCCTGTTGCAATCTTTGTTTCTGTTTCTGTTTCTTAACAAGTTTATGTCTCAAAACGTTCTGTTATCAGAAGTGACTGATCTACTTGTATCCATTTAATAATTTTTAAAAAATGGCAATAACTTTTGGCTCATGACAAGAAAATTTGCTACAAGTTTTTCCACCAGAGGAAAACTTGTACAATGTGTCTTTCGATGGCTCAGCAAAATTTGAGAGTGGATAAAAAATTGCCCATAATGTTATGCCACTGTTAGGCCACTAAGAAAAAATATATTTAATTACTCAGAACTTATTGAAATTGTAATATCATGTATGATATTGATACTCAAGCTTAAAGCTGGGTATTTGGTTTTGTTGGTTTTAAGGTATAAGTTTCATCACCTGTAAGGTATTTTATACATCAGCATTCACCCTTCAAGCGCTTTGGATTTTTTTTATCTAATTGCATGATGCAAAGAATCAAATGAAAGTTATGCAATCTTTCCACACATTGCTTTCTTTTTAGTTATAACATGACCATTCTTCTACCCCATTAATCAAAACTAGGACAAAATTCCCAGTCATGATTAGTCATCACCATTGAAATTTATGCTGCATTCATACATGCAATTATACAATCAGAGTCCTGCTTCACAGTCCTCTGATTTGGGTAACCACCAGACTGTATGAGTACTAATTAATAGGAGTGAGAGGAGTTGAAGTGGGTCTGTAATCATACAAGTGTTTAACAAAATCGATTGACCTCAAAGAGGCAGTCTGGTCTATTAATTTACAAGTATAATTGCAGACAGAATTGGACAACACAAAGTTCTGTAACCATTTAATCAAACTATGACAAAATGTAAGAAACAAACTAGCTACTGATTATGTATATTTACCAAAAAAACAACAGTGTGCACATGTGATGCAGACTGTCCAGTTACATAGGCATGATCCATACATTGTTCAATTACAAGCACAATGCATACTCTACCCTAATGGTGCTCAAATGAGGCCGGTGAGAACCAATCACATGTAAGAATTTTGTTCTAGTTTTGATTAAGAACCAAATTGAACTCCTCACAGCCCATCACCACTACAAATAACTTGGCCAAAACATTTTCTAACTTACGTTGTGTGTAGATTCACAGGGTAATATAAAACAATCTCACTGATGGTGAGGGATGTATTTCAGTAGAGAAAACACTTTATTTCCTCCTGTTACGTGATAAATAATAAATTATTATTTGCTAAATATAGTATTGAAGCCTGGTTTTTTTATTCATTATGACAAGCGTCTCTGTTGTGCAAGTGAGAGAAAAGGAGGTATTTTGTGATGTTCCACCCACTTTTCAGGTGTCTGTGTCTTACTTGTTACTGGTTTCTTTGAACTGATGGGACACAGTTATCTGGGAGGGAGAGACGGCTCTGAAGACGTGTTGTTGTCATAGTTATGAGTGGCACACCAAGCTGATAGTGATTTGAAGCTAGAGACTCTTGGGGATTGAAATAGGGAAAAGAATCACTGAAAAAGAACTATCATCTCGTACAATCATGATCACATCTCCCATCCTGCAGCCAAAAAATAAAAAACACATTCTGTCCTGTTTCAAATTTGTTTTATTAATTATTTGTCTAGCCTTTTTTTTTTCCTCTAGTATCAGTGGAAAGGTACGTAAAAGTACTTATAAAATTACACTTTTATTTCATTTATACTAACCCTTTAACTCCCAAGATCTGATTGTCAATTCTCCTTTGTAGCTGCCACACATTTCCTTGTAAATTAGTTATGAGAACTTGGTGCTAGATCAAGATAGCAGCTTCTATCTGATAAGTTTGAATATTCTCATCACCTGTTTGCTGAAGAATGTATGGATATTGTAGGGAGAAGTTTTATGTTAATCACTTCTGGGAGTTAAAGGGTTAATGTGGAACTTTGAAGTTATAAAAGAATGTCTGAGAAAATTTTTAACATAATATTTACAATATTTACATTACTCAACCTGTATGAAAAAAAAAAAAAAAAATGAAAATTTTTACCCAAAACAACACTTCTGCCAATTAAATTGGATACTTGTTGTTCTTAACATAAGACAGATCTCACATAAAAATAAATTCCTACCGAAAAAATTCACAGGAATATGTTTGTTGGGTAAATAATTAAAAATTAATGAACAACGTAAGTTTTTTTTCCTAATCTTTTAGAAGTATTTGAAAAACTGAAACATTTTAAAGTGACCTAACTTGGAAAAGTACTATAATGTGGGACTTTTGTGTTAATTCTCTGAAAGTGACTGTAATGAACTAAACAAAATGAAACTTGAAAATGTCTATTAACCAAATAAATAAATTTTCATCACCTCTTACAACACTCTACATTTGCACATGTTACTTCCAAATAATTAGTGAAACTTTTCTGGTGACTGAGTTTGTTATTTTTCAAACACCAGTAGGACACTATCTTTCTCTAAGTTCAAAACTGCCATTTCATGGAAAAAGTATTCTGATAGCTTACACATACCCACTCTACATTCTCATGTGTACCAACAGACCTAAACTTCTTTGCATTCTTGAATAAAATACCACCTGGCTACAGAGTTGAGGCATCACAAAACACAGGCTACTTTCAATTCCACTAATGTGCAACTTACTGCAATGCTAAACTTTGAGTAACTTTCCTCAATGTTCACATTGTCTCTTCAGAAGATGTTTTCAAATCTGCATCTTCAATTCTGTGACCCACAAGGCCTGATACTATATTCACAAATCTTACCTAACAAAACTCTAACTGGTACTTATTTACTACTGTGGCCGTTTTGTTTCTTCTTTGATTCACTGTCTATATTTTTTCCTACATAGATGCTACCATTAGCACCTTGGAAGATGGTATATTCTTTTGATGAAAGAGGACGGCCACTTTCATCTCTTAAACTTTGAAACAGGTGATCCTGTAGTTCATCGACTTTCTTCTTGTAATAGGCATTTTCAGCCAAGAGTTTTTGCCTTTGCTTGATAATTTCCTCCTTTTTCTTTCTCATACTTTGAATATCATCTTCTATGTCACTGACAACATCAATCTTTCTTTTGCGACACAAGCGTGCAGCAACCTTGTTCTTTCCTCTTCTACGTATGTCTCTGGCCTTCTGCGCATCAGGTTCTGAAAGTGTTTCCAAAAAGCTGCCAAATTCATTAATACTCATGTCAACTATTTCATCTTCTGATGCTGGAAAGTGTGATGCCCCAGCTGCAGCTATAGCTGGGCGTGCCCCATTGAAATCCTTGGGAGCAGTTGAAGGCGTAAACCTGGTAGATGTGCTTACTGGCACACTTGGAACTCTTACAATCTCAGGTTTCTCTTGTTTGATGTTTGCACCGGGTAAGAGTGGGAAAGAGTGACTCTGCCAGTCTCTGGTAGCTTGAGGAAGCAAGGATTCTGAAAAGATAAAAGCAACTTGTTAAAATACTAATAGAACAGTGATATCTACCACTATTAACATTTCTTGACCCAATGTAAAAATCTTTAAGGCCACACCCCAACTCAAAGGCCCCTGCAAAGATTTAACTCAACACTGAATTTCCTTTTCGAAAGAGGACGTAGCAATTGCTCGAATTTTCAATACAATAGTCGCATATGACGTACGGGAAGATAAAGCGGTGAGGCGTGAGCGACAGCTTAAAGGAAACTGAGAGCACAATATTGGTCGTTTTTTTACATCGATTTGCTGATTAAATCAACTGGATGCAAATCACGAAATTTGGCCCAAAATTAATATTTAACAAAGGAAAAAGCAACTGTTTCCAAGGAAATAAACAAATATTTAGAAACTCCCATCAAGAACAAACCAAGATAATCAATTATGGTAGCTCGAGTAAAAGAAATTTGTTATTCAAATAAACAGTCACAAAACCGAAAACGGAATTCTGTGGAACTTTAAAGAACTTGCGCTCGTGAGATAATGCGGTGCATGTGAATATTATACGTGTGAAAAAGCACTTTAGCTGGTAACTTAATATTACTGAGGAAAAACGTACCAGTTGAAGGAAATCCGCTATCATTTCTCGTTGCGGTGGCCTCTGAAAATATTGGCACCGGTTCTTGACCGAGGGGAAGCAGGCTATCATGTTTATTTTCGATCGCTTGTTGCCCCGTTGGTTTTGGGTCGAATATGTCGAGAGGAAGATCATCTAGATTGACTGCAAACGAGTCCAGGTCAAACACAGGGTCTGTGTTAGGTCCCACTTCTTGCAGTTCTTCTTCTGTTGGCGCAAAATCAATAGAGAACGGGTCAGCGTTGAAGAACTGTTCCTCAAAGTTGAAGGTTTCTTCAAAGGGATTCTTTCGGTTGGGATCGGAGGGCGAGTGAAACTCTTGCGGAGAGTTGGGGAACTTTCTGTAAGAATCATCAGGGCTCGGCAACGGTTCGGTTTTAATCTTTGGGTAAGGTAGTTCTTCTGGCAAAAACGCTGCTTTTTTCTGAGGTGGTTCCTCGTAGATGGCGTCGAGATCGATATAATCCTCGAGTTGAAAGTCGATGGACTTCAGAAGGTCTTCTTCGGTCGGAGTGAAGCCAGCGGCACCGAAGTAATCTGCTTCAGGGGCCTGTGTGTTTGTATAACTAGCTTCGTGTTGTGGTGAGCCACCAACAGAGGAAATAGCTGAAGGCGAACGACCGCCATCGGAGCTATAACCGCTCTCTAACTCCGTACTAAACGAAGCTCTCGTTTCTCTTGGGGCGGTATGGGTTTCCCCGTTGAAAAGCATGGCAACTGCATCTGTGTCAAACTGATTGTTACCACTTGTGTGCCAATCCAGAAACTCATTTAGGGGGTGTTGAACATTACTTTCTTTAGGTGCCAAGTTGAAGTTGAAGTTAGTAGTGCTGGGAACATGATTGTACGGGACTACACCAGTTAAATTCTGTGGGTATCCCATGTTCACAGGCATCGGCGGAGTTGTGTTCTGACCAACAAATCCTTGAAGCTCAGGTCTCATCAGAGACAACGCCATAGCAAGTTGAACAAATGTTGTGCCATCGAGGTATTTCTTTCCAACTGCCATGATTCTTTCAACACTAAGGAAAGATGGAGTAAATCACTAAAGTTTCTCGAAGTTGCTTTTTCAAACGTCTCTATTCGCCTCTAGTGATCAAGTGTTCGACTAATGTTCCTCTCACAATCGAATGAATTCCTCGCAGTCAAGGCTCGATTTACGTAATTAGTTGAGGGAGGGAAAAACTTTCAACTTTAGAATACCACCGAAGTTCAATGAGCTCTCTATCTCGTGATCCTTTATGAAAAAAGCTGAGTCACTCTGTTTTTATAGTTGACGAATTATTTTTGTACAGATGATGTCAGATTATTAAAAATACAAAACAATCAAAATAACCAATGAACAGTGGCGAAAGTTCGCGTGCTGCAGATATGATTTAAATGTTGATTGGTTTATATCCCATTGACGTCAATATGACGCACTTTTCTAGGCACTTGTCACGCAAAGGCCTCGTCTTGATGTAGAGCCTTTCCAAGGCCCACTGTATGTTCAGGCGGCCAGCGGAGTAAAGTATAAAGACAACCATAAAAGATGGCGGACAGGGGAGAGCAACGATTTACAGAAGCTGAAAAGAGACAAATAGAAATTTGGAATAGACAGTTCATGCAAAAAAAGTACCTAGCACAGATCAGGAGAAGAAATATGATGGTATTCGGAGGTCTTTTAACGTCTGTTGCCGCCATTTGTATCCTTTTACAGGCTAACCCTGTAACTATTGCATCACTGCACTAAATCGCTAATTTCTAATTTAAATCTCTAATTTTAAATTTTATCTGCCAACATACAGCAGCAATTTTTAGCAAGAGAGCTTGATTATTAAATTTACTATTGCTATAATTTTCAAAGTGCGTTAAGACCGAATTTCAAACATCGCCTTCCGTGCATGCAAAAGCACACGTGGACAGATCTGTCTTCATTTTATACCTCACATGCAAGGACAGTAAGATGATATTTACTTCACATGCAGTAAGGTTATATCGTAACGCCGGTATCTGAATAACCTCTGATATTGGTTCCTTCCTCGTAGATACCCCAGTGTTACTCACAATAGATTTATTGACGCAAATGGAAATAATGATATTGAACTGTACTGTTTGAGCGTTGTTTATTATCATTCGTGCATAAAACATATTGTAGTCGCTTTCCTCCTTCCTCGACAGTCAATCCAGACAGTAGATTCCGTTACCTCTTGGCACGAAACGTGGTCATGCCTCTTCGTTTCTCTCGAAAAGTCCAAAAATTCAATCGCATTTTGCACGAAGCGAATTTATCTCATTAACATCGAGATACGGTTCATAGATCACCTTGACTAATATTTGTTTGAACGCTACATGCATACATGTACGCAGACAGCCGTTTTGTTTAGTGCCTTAATGACTGCACTTACAAGTGGGTCTATGAATGTAGTCGGTTAATTAATGTTACTTGTGACATATGTCTGCTCACCAAACTGGAACTGTGTAGAGCCGGAAAAAAAGTTATCAGTCCCATTCTTTCTTTTGTGTGGGTAGCTTGTTATATAATGTTGTCGATCAATGGAGGCAATGTTATGATTTATCATCAATCAAACAGGGTGTTCTTAAACCACCATTATTATTTTAGCATCAACAAAACAGGGAGTTATGAGGTAGTTGGGTGTTTCTGATAAAGTAACCGTCAAATTCTAGAACCCTCTTGAAAGCTAAAAATACATGGAGACAGCATATTGGTAGATGCCTCAGAAGGCAATTAAATAGTTTAACTCCTCTTCTTTCATTCACTAGAGTTGTTTGTTAGATTAATTGTTAACAGTATTATAATAACAAAGGCATTCTTTTCTTTGCCATTTTTATTTTCATGTGAAAGCACTTTGTTTGTTATCAGTATTTTGACCCCTGGGTGAATTGTTAGGAAGTGGTTTTCAGTGAAATTTGTCTATGCACATGTTTTTGCCACAAGGATTCTTCATACTTATTTCCATTTCAGTTCACATGTGTGATGTAAGTCTAGTTGATTTCATTGTCCATCTTTGTATTGAAAAACAAAATGTAGAGAAGAAGAGGAACTGTAGGAAAAAACATTTCTGATTAATTACCATAGTTAATGAACATCCAAATGCCAAATGTCTACAGGAACAACTTGGCTGTGCGTTTGTTAAGTCAAAATTTATGATTCATAACTAGAACAAAATGTGAAATTCAGCTTTCTTGTTTTGCAGACAATGTTTTAAAATGTGGCTTGGCTGGGATCCATCAATTGGGCAAGAAAAATTGTTACCAGTGTAATAAAAACTACTTGCCCCAGACAACTGTTGGGGGTTTTAATAGACTAGTGGTTTGGTTTTCAAAGTATAATTACTGACAGTACTGTTGAGCACCTCCTTAAAAACAACAATTCTTTATGATTTTTACAACTGCACCAGGAATTTTCAAGTGGATTTGTGACATAAGTACTGCTACAAATCTGTTGAACCTTGCTATTTTACCACTGTAAGACTGGAACATAGTTAGTTTTATATTGTTTGCCTCAGGGTTAGGTGACCAAAAATATTTTTATGGCAACCATTTTATAATTAAAGGTCCCCAAGAGGCAGCTTTTTAAAAAATTGAACTTGGAGCCATGATGTAGATGTCAAACAATTCCTTGTAAATGAAAGGGATAGTTTGCTGTCATTTGAGGATAGTACCTCCAAGTGATGCCTGTCTGGCCTCAAAACCTGTTTGCAAATCTCAAGAGGTTACAAGTTAGTCACATTAACTGAGACTCTCATGGCTTGATAATTGCTGCTGTATTTACTGGCTTCCACTACTAATTACTGCAGTTAAGTTCACTTTGTTGAAATACTTAACTTGTTGTAGATGGATACACACTTCTGGCAACTAAACAGGAACACCTGGACTTTGAGGAATAACAGTGGTGGATTCTGTAAAAAAGGGAACAGTCATTGTGTAATGTGTGTTCATGAACAAGAGACTTGGAAGGATTCTTAAACTTGACGCAAAGGCAGGCCTTGGTGGTTGTGTAAAGTTGAGAAAGAGTAACATGTCCATGCAAAATTTAACTTAATTGAAGAGAAGTTGTTTACTCACTGGCCATGTTGAAGATATGTTGATTTAATTATTATTACAGTCTTGATAGTAACCCATATTTATTACCCTCCTTACATTAAATACAATGTTAATTGTTATAAAAGCGACAAACAAATTGAGGATGATGAAGAGAATTTGATGGCAGTTACGATTGCAGCTATGTTGTGATGGTTTGTTATTGTGTGTGTTGAGCGAAACTGTTACATAGCATTTTATAAGATATACTGAAGACCAAGAAGGGAGATAAAAGAATGGAGGATGTTGTGAATGATGAACTTGAGTGGGCAGACATAATTAAGTGTAAAAGGAACTGAGGCCTTTCACTCCCAAGATCTCATTAGTATTTCCGTTACTGTCTGCCATTTAATTCTTGTGATGTAAGTTGGGTGAATTTGGTACTGGATCAACTAAGAATCTCCTAATTGATTATTTTCTTTATTTTTTTAACCTGTCTACTTCAGATTGTTTTCATATTGTGAGGAAAAATTCTGTCTTGGTCACTTATGGGAGTTAGTCATGCTTGAATTATTGGTGAAGAGCTTGTCATACTGGCTCTGGTTGTTCAAAGGGGCGGATGATGCTATTCAACGGATAAATCATTTTTCAGTAAATGAGTATTAACAAAACATACTGTGCTATCCACTGGATAGCAACTTATCACGTGGATTGCATTACCCGCAACCACATGAAGAAGAAGGACCACATGCTGAGATGAAAAGAAAAAACCAAAAAAGCAGGAAAAACCTGCATGGCCCATTGTCATTGAACATAATTTTGCATGACACCTTGATGATAGTCAATAAACTATTTTTAACAGTGATGCAGGAAGTAATTCTTTTTGTTGAGGAAACTGGAACAATGGGTTCTGCCTACTACGGTTGATCCATATCACAGCAAAATGCTGTGCAGTAATTTGTGTTAAGTGACTTGTAGTTCTGAATTTAGAAATCTTCAACCTTGACTCCTTACTTCCATTCAATACTGGAGAGTAAAATCAAACTTTACAATGGAAAACATCACAACACATATGGTAATAGTGCTTTATTAATAGTTGCTCTGGTATACAAATCACCTTGATGCACAAAATCTTTTTAAAAAACAAGAACTGAGTATTTAAAGGAAAAATATACAAATTTATGAACCATTCTTTCTTTGTTAGATGTGCAAACTGCAGTGCTTTCTTGCATACAAATACTTTTTCTTTGCTATATGAAAACCAATATCTAACGCTTACCTGTTCACTCACAATACAGGCTTTTTACATGAGCCACACAAACAATATCCCAAGGAGAAAAAGCAAATTACCGGTAAATCAATCTACTGAAATTTTCCCTCAAAAAAAAGCAGGTTGTATATACAGTCCTAAGGGAGAAGTGAATTTAACAGCGAAGGTTTACAGGTCATCAACTACAACATTAGGATGGACGACTAGGAATGGATCTTCTTCTTCAGATGGCACATAGTCTTCCTGTGATGTTCCCCATTCTTTTAGTGCTAAAATAACATTGTCCTAGAAGAAAGAAGTTAACTTTGTTTAAATGAATAAGTCCTTCCTAATCTCAATTCTTGACTTGTTGAAGGCAGAGAAATGATGTGCTAGGGTTCAAGATTGAAAGCAGCTGAAATGCTGACTGATAAATTTTTTTTAATGTACTTTTATACACTGAACTAGAGATTTTGTTTGAATAATTAGTAATAATTGAGTTGTAAGAAGAGCAAAGTCTTAACCCTTTAACTCCGAAAGTGATGAACATGTAACCTTTCCCTATAATATCCATACATTGTCTAGCAAGCAGGTAAAGAGAATTTTCAAACTTATCAGGTATAAGTTGTTATATTCATCTTACTCCAAATTTTTGTAACTAATTTACAAGGAAACATGTAGCAGCCAGAAAGGAGAATTAACACTCCAATCTTGGGAGTTTAAGTCTTCATATCTTATTGTTTTTGTCTTTTTGCTGAGTGGCATATGTTTAAGAATTGAACTTTTTGAAATTGTTCCAATTGTGATCAAAATCACCCTCCTGGCACTTATGTAGAAATGGAAATTTTAGTAACCATTTTTAAGTAGAAAGTTCCTTCACTGTTTTCTGTCTCTGGCAACAATTTTGTTTACATTCCAGTCACACTAAGAATCTTGATCATTTTATCATTTTCAATCTCTTTCTTCTCATTGAAAAACCTGTCACCCATTCCAATTAAATACTTTAGTCTACTTTACCACAAAGATTGAGTTTGTACAATCCACATCAGCTTGCCTTTCACATTAAAATGGAAAGACCCATTAGTTTCAATTTGCATTTGACTCTGAGGGTCTATCTACACTAACAAAACAGTTGTTTTTGTAGAAAATTTTTCTGTCATCACCAATACTTTACAAGTCTGAATGATTTGTCAACAAAATCTGTCCTAGGTAAAAGCTGGACAAAATCAGCTAAATAGACAAAAATACTATGTCTCAATTTTGTCAATTCTCCACTGATGAAGATGGGCCTTAGGGCATTTTTAAATTCAAATGATCTTGCATCAGACAGATCAACTGTTGTCTAATGCCTATTTTTGGTAAATCACAGTGCTTATTATTTTAAATTCCGCATAGTCACCAAATTAAGAGAATTTTGTAACAAGAACAGTAATTACCAGTATTTATAAAAAATATCTAGAAATTTTTAAAGAATGAAGAACCTTTTGGAGAAAGCCACCATTTTCTTATCCTAGGATATTGTTTCAACATGACAATGTTGACAGTTTGAATGTTTTGAATGACATCAAAAGAAATATTGAAACATTGATGACTGCAGTATATACTTTTTTGTCAAAATCATTCTAAAAAATGGTTATTAAAAGCAATTTCTACTCACCGATATGATCAGCCTGTCAAGAACCTTATCAAGAATTACTTTCTTTTCAGCCAACTCCTCTTCAGTGTCAATGTCTTTCTCAATTGTTTTGAGATACCAGTTAACAACAGCACTTCTACGGATCCCAGTGTCATCTGTTCAGGGAGAAGGAATTTTGTTGATATTTTCTAAATTTCTCACTATACAGGTTTTACAGAGGGTTGGCACACTTCAGCTGATATTTCAAGTCTGATTTCAATGAAAGGGAAACAACACTAACTTATTTGCATTTGGATTTGAAAGAGGTTAATGCATGCAGCATTTTTAAGCCTCATTTTGTGGATTGAGAACAAATTTATAAAAACATAAAATAATATAACATGTAAAACCAGCCATAATTTTGTGCTGCTTGGAAGTATATAGCCTGTGAGAAGACCCTCAACATAAGCACCGTGGCAAAAGTCTTAATTCACCCACAAGAAAGTTTAAGGCCTCAGGCAAATTGAGATAGCAAGAGGCTTGGAAGGGATCTGGCACAAATAATGATGCATCACCAACCACCTGCTGACTTAATTTGGTTTAGGCCTTGACTCTTTACACCCTAACATCAGGATGTATCTTCTCCATACTAACCCCTACACATTCACTACGGTACTCACATGGAGAATTTGCGCTAACAATCAACAGCTTTCTTAGTTTTGATCATGTTTGATTCAGGTGTGATACTGTTGGAGGAATTAGATGCTTATCCTCCTTGGGGTTTAAGGGTTGACCCTGCTTAGGGGCAAAGAAACACCTGTGCTACAATGCTTATAATAAGGGCCAGCTCAGAAGTTAGGAAGCTCATGACTTGCCTTCACCCCCTCGCTCCTCTTCTGCCCTTAAGTACCCTGCGACACTCCTTGCCATTGATCTGTAATCCTCAAATGACAAGCGCAGTTTGCTTTTAGCCTTCTGGTCACTCTCTGTCCTATCAGCATCTTTTTCTGTATGGCCATTTACCATTCCACTTGGATGAGCTTCACTCTCCCCATCCACATCCATATCTACAAGAAATAATAGGAATAACAGTTTTAAAACATTAGATTTTGGAAGAAAAATGGAACATATTTGTACAGGCTGAGAGCAATGTATGAGTTCCACCCTCCCCTAACTGAGAGGAGTTGAACTCCAGGCTGCTGCTAAGATTTTGCAAATATATGCTATACTCCCTTAGTGAAGGGAAGGGTGGAAGGGGCAGCAGTCAATGGCCCTTTTACCCTGACCTGCCTAAAAGAAAAATCTGTACATCTTCATTTGATACTCTGTTTATAGCACAACTGTATAAATTGCTGCTTTCCAGCCTTGTGTAGTAATGTATAATGCAAATTGTGACAGGACTTTAAGAAAAGGTCATTTTCAAGATGTACAAAGCCTTTTTTTAAAATGATGGAAAGCTTCACAAAGAGTGTTCTGCACTGAGGAGTATGTTGGAAGGTGGGGTTTTTAAGCATTGCAATTGGTCTTTAAATTTGACACAATTTGTTAGTACCACACATGTAGATGTAGTCTCACCAAAATCAAACCATATTTAAGGCTTCTGGTCTTGACAGACAACCTGTTCATGACAGGAAATAGTGAATTGTACAACCTGTTTAAGACTCAAGTCTCCTCAAATGCCACACCATGTTTGGTGACACTATGCTTGAGGCCGAAATAGCGAGTGCCTTCTCCATCCCACCCCACCCCACCCCCACTACCAGAGGGCAAGGTCTACATACTATGCTACAGAGAATGTGTTGGTGAGCCAGATTGTATCCTCCAAAGTACAAATGTAGGTCAATTTTTTCAGACACCTTTCATCAAATTCTAAAATAAGTTTTTGCTCCATCCACATTTACCTTCTTGTTGTTCCTCCTCATCTTCATCAAACTGTACATCTGGAGTTTCAACCCTAATTATAGACTTGTTCAAAAGACGAAATGCTTCTTTGACATGCTTGGGTTGAACCTGCCATAAAAAAGGGAACATACAAAGTCATGTAAAAATGTCTGTTTGTGCTTTGATGAAAAGCAGAAAGACATTCATTCAAAGACAAGAGATTTGATTAAAAAATCCTGGAAATTTGAATTGTTTACTCAGGAAATTGAGACAAATATCAACTTCTGCTGCAAATATCAGTTCAAATTAGTTTGTAGCTTAGGTTGTTTAACCCTTTAAACCCTAATATCAGTATGCATATTCTCCATACTGGTCTCTATACATTTCTTAAGGTGCTAACAAGGAGATTATGTTTAACAATCAAGAACTCCTTTAACTGGTGATCATTTCTTTTGTTCTAGTAAGATTTAAAATGTTTGATTCATGGGTAATATTCTTAAAAGAAATTAGATGCAATTCACTCTTAGGGTTAACCCTTTAACTACCAGACAATATCTGTACATTATCCAACCAACAGGCAACAAGAATTCTCAGACTTATCAGGAAGAAGTTGTTCTCTTGATCTAACACCAAATACTCATCATTTTTTAACAAGGAAATGGGTACCAGTTAGAGGGGAGAATTAACAATCAGATCTTGGGAGTTTAAGAGTCAAAGGGTTAAAGTTTTATTCTTCTTCACCTCATCCTGACAGTAAAGCCTGGCCATGGCTTCAGAGAGACGAATCATGCTCTCTAACTGTCGTACTGTAATGCGCCACGCTGACCTTGCAAAGCCTATAAACATTGAAAATGGAACAAAAGAATTGGTACAAAAATAGTCTGTACTCAAACCAAGTGGTCCTTCCAGGTGGAGCTTGTCTCAGTTTGCATAACATGACTGACTGGCTCACTGACTTACCAGTAATTCATTCTCTTAATTTACTTAATTTACTTAATTTACTTAATTTACTTAATTTTGACCTGAATGTGAGTAAAATTAAAGACAATAAACACAACATCAAGATCTACCAATCACATGAACAAAGAGCAGATTGATGTACATTAGCAAGAAGGTATCAGGGCAATTAGCAAAAAAGGCAATAAGTTATCACCAACTCTTACTTGTGTCTCGTTCTCGTAGATGTTTATACTGTTCAACAATGAAATCCTGTGCATCTTTGCTGATCTAATGGGAAACATTCTCCATCAGTGAATGTTACCATGCAGAAACAAACATACTTTAAATTTTTGTTAGGTTGAGGGCCATCAATAAAATGAATTTAAGAAAGTAAATGAAACTTTAAAAACATGTTTTGACAGTTCTTCTGTCATCTTCAGTTCTGAATTTACAAAGTACAGAGTTGATTTAAAGTGTGTAACAAAATGCTGATTGGATTTGTTACATAACTGCTGCTATCCAGACCTTTCAGCAATACAATCAATAAAAATATTAAATTTTTATTTCTTGTCATTTTTCTGATAATGATTAAACCCTTTGGGACACAAGGCTGACATTCGCTTCTGAGAGTCTCTTTCCCATCCCATTAGATCACTATATATTATTCAGAGCAACCTCATAACATTGTGTTAGGTTTACCCTTAGTGGGTTTTCATTCATTGATGAACTAGATATACAACCAATGGAGGAACTTGATATGAATCAATTACAACATAACTTTAATGCTAAGACTTACTGTCGGTTTAAACTGCCTGGCAAATGTTATGTATCTCTGAACTTCATCCTATGGAAAAACAAACACAATTTGTTGATTAAAATTGAGGTCATGAAAGAGTCTGAATACATTACTTATACTTTAGTGTTTATGTTCTAAAGCTAAATAGAGTTGTAACACCATTGAAAAACTGTTCTCTCCTGTTCCTTTTGAAAACAGTTGTTCAAACTAGATGCTGCATGATATTGAGCCTCCAAAATCACTTGCCAGCCACATCATTTATTTCAAACATAAGGAAAACTGAAAAAAGGTTTTCTCTTTTTTTTTGATGACAGCAAATTTTAGCATTACTGACAATCACTTTCTATTTTTAGGTTTTCTCAACTAAAAAATCACACCCCAAATGGACAAAAAAAGACACCTACCACACTGTAAGTCCTCTCCACAGCCTCCCCAAGCCGGCTGTGAAGATCAACAATTCTACGAGCAATGGCATAGTCTGTTACCTGTAAAGAGAAAAATTGTCAAAATGAAAGTTGTCCAATAAATTATTGCCATGCATGTTTTCTTCATGTGATACACTTCCAAACACATTTACTGGAACAACTTCTGCCCCCCTCAAGGTTGGTCTGCAAGATGGTATGGACATAATGGCCATCAACAACATTGGAGAGGGGTGAAGGACCATCATAGATTTTGTTCCCAAGAAGTGTTCCAACCAGTTCTGTGTAGGAGTGTAGTTTTGAGCATGTAGTGATAAATCAGAGAATTCTTTTCTTTCTTTTGTTCCCTTCATTTGTTTGGTCAGTGGTATATTCAAGGGCAAGGTAAAGAGAAGTAAAGTTTTTGAAATTCCAACTTTAAAAAAAAACAATTTATTAAAGATTAGCTTTACCTCATTGCAGTCATCAACAAGTATGAAGAACAGGTCAAATCTTGACATAATGGGTGCAGACATGTTCAGATTGTGCTGCAAATTAATAATCAATTTCACAAATCAATATCCTCAAAAGGCAACTTCATGATGTTGTTGATGAGAATTATAGTTGAGAACTCTTTGATTGAGTATTGCTGAACTAAACCAAAGATAATAATAATGGCCAATCAGAACAAAATGTTCATATTGAGACAAAGGAGCTCAGTGCTTGCCACAAATAACATTGACAAATCCACACCACAGTCAATCATACTTACAAGAGAGTGTCTTTCTCTTACCTTGAGTGACTTTGTTCTGTCATATCGCCCACCAATGGGGTTGGCTGCTGCCAGAATAGAAGTTCTTGCATTCAATGAGGCCTGAAATATAATATTTACCAAGTAGTTACATGTAGCTCCAAAGGGTGCATTACGGGAGGGGAGAGGTAAAACTAGAAACCTCTTAGGGGGAAGGGGGTTCTCTGACATGTTCGGGCATTCAATAAAGGCTGAAAAGTAATAATACCAAATAAGTAGCCCTAAAGGGAAATTCGAGGGAGGTAGGAGGGAAATCTAGAAACCTCTCTGTGGGAGAAGGGGGGGGGGGGCTAATAACATATCGGTTTACCTTTACACCAGCCTTTGTTATTGAAATAGTTTGCTGTTCCATTGCTTCGTGAATGGCCACCTGATCCTTAGGGTCCATCTTATCAAACTCATCAATGCAGCACACCCCCTACCATGCAAAAAAAAAAATATCTTTTCCTTACCATCAACTCAAGTAATTAACAACAAAAAGAAAGTTCTGAGTTACCCATACATGCAAACTTGTGTTTACTGTGTCTAGTTTTAAGTTTCATTACTGAAGACAGTAAGGACAATTACTTATGAGTTCTTGGCTGTAAAAGGGTTAAGAAACAGAGCATTGTGGGAATGACAGTCAGACAGATACCCTGCATTTGACACAATTTGATCCCCTCGAAAATATCCTACATGTAGCTACCTTCTTGTATTTCAATACTCACATTATCAGCCAACATCAAAGCACCAGCTTCAATGACAAATTCTGATGACTCCTCATCCTTGACCACAGCAGCTGTGAGACCTGCAGCACTGGAGGCCTTTCCAGAGGTGTACACAGCTCTGACACTAAACTCCTCTATATGCCTGTCATCAAGAAAAATATCAAAACATTTTTAGAGAAAACTTTATACAAAATGCCTACCATAAATAAAGCACAAATAAGAACCATTATCCATAATAAGTGACCTGTCATGTATTAGAGGGGAGGGGAAGAGCAGGAATGACAGGTAAATGATAAATGGATAAACAGATCACACTAGCACCAGCTCTCAGGACTCCTCCCATCATTTATTAGAGGGAGGAGGGCTGGTGCAAACAGGGAGAAAGTCATTACCTTTTCTGCAACCAAATAGGGGAGGGTCATCAAAGTTTATGCCGGGCTTTCAGGGGACCATATATTTTTTGGATCACACAAAGGGAAGGGTTGAAAGCAATTTTCAATTGAGTATGGGTCTGTGATTGGTCAAGAAAACTCAAGCCATCCTCTCCACCAATAAGATTCAAAACTAATACAAAACTTTCCTGCTCTCTAAGCAGTTTGCCTCTTTTTCCTGGCACATTCTCATTAACTTCTTGAGAATCTTTCTCTTCTTCTGATTGGCTGTTGCGATTAATTAATTGGTTTTGGTTTTAAGACACCTGATCAAATTGCACTCTTAGATGAAAAAAAATCAATATTGCCAACTTAACATACTTGAGTATTTGGCTTTTTGCGGTGCTGGGATCTCCAACAATACAGACGTTGATATCACCACGCAGATTTGTTTTTTCCAATGTGATTTTTGGAACTCCACCAAACAGCATCAGGAGCACTCCACGTTTGACCTCATCATTTCCTACATTAAGCAAGCTGTGTATTAGCAAATTCACAGGCCAACAACTAGAGCTTGTAATACAATAAAAGTTTAATCATTGTCAATTGCACTGAGGAGTATAAAAATTATGTTTTTTTTTTTTCAGTAAGAAATTTTAGGGCAACTTCTTCTGCAGAAAGATTTGTAAAAATTTAAGGCAGATGAAAATTGAACTGACAAAATAAATGTGAATCTACCATTTCAAGAAAAGGAAAAGTGGCCATAAGGGGTTCTGACTTGTACAGTGTAACATTTTAAGTCTAGTTCAAACAAAATATACCAACCATGAATAGTTGGAAAGATGCTGTTGATTAAGTTCTGGTAAAGATTTTTATCCTTGCTCATCTGATAAATCTTTTGCCATTCCTGATCTGTCATCTGCTTTTTAATTGTCTCTGCTGTAACATCGTCGCCATCAAGGTCTTTGCCTCCAAACTGGTAGGAAAAAGAAAAAATTTAGCCATCACACTCCCAGAAGTGACCAAAAAATGATATCTACTTACAACATAAATACAATTTTCAAGCAGAGCAGTCCTAAATCTTCATTTTTTAGGCAAGTATTTTGAGGCTTCCTGATATGAATGTAATTTGCAAAACAAAAGTAATAACAAAAATGACGTACTCTTGGGTTTGTTGCTTGGACGCTACAGGCAAGAAAAGCCAATCTGTAGGTCAAATCTCGAACTCCAAGAGCCTTGAGCCCCCTAAAAAGAAAATGAAAAGATAACTGCAAGTTTCAACTGACAATAACTGAGAAACCTATCAAGGACAGGCAACACCAAAGCCATGCATGAATATGCAACCCTGTCATTGAAATTGAGGAAAACTGAGATAGTTTTTTTTTTTTTATCACCTCACTCCCTCTGCTTCGTATCCTTCACCAGATGTTTGTCTTCCAGATGATTCTGCTCTCGCCCCTTAGAACACAAGAGTACAAAATTACATAATGACCTCAATAATTATTTATTTATTCTTGAGAAACTAAAGCACGGTTTATCAACTGAGTTGATAATGTAAATTGGCCACCAAAAATATTTCCTAAAGCTGATGTTTTAAGCATTGGGTTTGTCACAGCAAATGGTACATGTGGTTTTACATGCCTTAAATGTCAAGCAAATTATTCCCCAATTCCTCTCCAGTTTCCCCTGTTTCTTTCCTGTTTTCATTTGAGTTTCCATACTATTCTGTGTCCCTTTATGTAATGCAGGCATTTTACCTGGTGTAGAAATTTGTGCTACATCAGGAACCACAATTAGGCTTCCAGTGAAGTCACACTTATCACCAGCCTGAGCTTGTTCTACTGCTTCAGCTCTTAAAATTACTTCCACACTGAAAAAAAAGTTTACCAAGTTTACATCAAAATTCTATTCCAAAACTCTGAACTCTTGCACCAAATTCTTCCACATCAAATGAAAAAAAGACACCAAAAACCTTTCTGTCAAAATTGCTGAAAAGGTTTGTGGTATTTCACTGGGTGGAGATAGGTATTAAAAGTTAAGTGTTTTGTTGAAGAACACAGCACGAGCCCCAAGTCTACAGATTATCTGTCTCATGATGAAAAATTTTATTTGGTTGTGATAGATTGGATCAACCCAAATGTACCTCTCAGCCTGAAAAAGACCAAGCATACCCTGTTTAAACCTTAAAATCCATATCAGAAGAGACTGTTGGTGCAATAAATGATAAAGCTTATAGTGCAGGATTTAAGAATGAATGTCAATAGTAACCTACCTTCTAGGAATGCTTCCCCTTGGTAATTCTGCCTGTGTTTCTTGTATACGCACTTTTTGAAAATCCACATAGCGCGACTTGTTTATGTCCAGCATAAATCTTGCCCTGTTCTGACAAACTGGGTTGCGGCAAACTGTGGGCTGCCAATCAAAGCAAAACATCAGAACACAATAAAAAACAAGTTCAATTATTCCTTAACCCTGAGATCCCTGGGTGTGATAAGCATCTAATTTCTCCCAATAACATCACCCCTGTGTCAAACATTAAGGTCATTAGAAGAGAGGAAATGATTATTAATTGAAAGTTTTGATTGTTAAACAAATTCTCTTTATCAGTTAACAGAAAATGTATAGAGAACAGTAAGGTGAGTGTGCGTGCTAATGTTAGGGTATAGATTTAAAAATCAATGTGAGTACACAAAAAAAAAAACCAACTGTAAAAATGGTAGTCAAAGAGAACCAAGAGTATATTTCAGTCAAATATTTCACTAACAGATGTATTGGCCGAGCAGCTAACAAGCTGAAATGCAGATTGAGAAATCCTGGTTCAAGACTTGGCTGGGTCATTGTGTTGGGTTTTTAAATAAGACCTTTTACCCTCAAAGTGCCTCTCCAAACTCAGATGTTATAATGGGTACCAACAGCCTGTTGGAGAAAGCTGAAAAAATACAGTGGTAACCCTGGAACAAACGTGCATCTCATTGAGGCAGCAGCAATATGTTTATTACCTTTATGCTGACAAAACAGGGATATATAGGCTCTAACAGAGTGAATTACTTAGTCAATAGTCCATTTCTGAATCACCTTTGGCCTCATTTTCGAAGCAAGTCCTAGTGCTCATCTTTTCATGGCAAGAGGCAAGGTAATTTGGAAATGGCCTATTCAATAAGAAGGCAAAGAACCAAACACATACCTGAGTATATTTAAATTGTTGCTCAACATCCTTGATAACAGTCTGGCAATCAAGGCAAATGAATGTTCCACTCACTAACTCAGGGTGTACAGGGTGAGTACGTACAACTTGTCCACTAATTCGAAGTAATGTTCCAATTTTCTGACTGGTGAGTTCTCGAATCCTACATTTAAATCAAGCAATGCAAAAATAAGTCCTACACATAAAGAACATTTTTATCATTGTCTACAAACTTTATGTGGACATTTTTCTCTTGTGAATGACTGAGAAGGATTCTCCCCTAACAATATTGATAAATTTTCAAGCGAAAAGGCACTGAGAAGAAATAAACATATCAACCATGAAATATTATTTAAACATCTGGTAAAATAAAGTCTTACTTGTGTCTTGTTGGTAGATCTGTGAAGCTGACATAAAACTCTTTTGTTGGTGGCACTTGACCTCTGTCTCTGGCAAAGTTTCTAACAGCTCGACAAAGATAGGGAAATACCCTGGAAAAAAAGACAAATTTGTAATTTTACCTATGGTGAACTATAGCTTTTTATTGTATGGTCTGTATTTTCCCATATATGATGTCATTGAAAAACACTGCAAAATATAATCCAGAGCCATATGTGATGGCACAAGTAGAGCCAGGAAAACATCTGGCCCTATGAAAGGTGAGTGCAAAGGAGGAAGGAAAAAAGCACTGGTCAAATGATAACCACTGTTATCAATTTATATTCCTGTAGGGACAGAGAGAGGTACCTACAGAGTTGGGGATATCTCCCCAAAATCACACATCTCAATGACTTACTAAGGGCTTGAAACTTGACCATGTGATGTAAGGTCTAGAATGCCAACAAAAATAATGTCTCTCAAAAATGAGGTTACCTGTAATATTCTTCCTGAATTAAAGTTGACAATTGTGCATTGTAAGACTCCACATCTTGATAACTAACTGTTAATGTGTTGCGCTCAGGTCTGATAAGTTCTTGAACCTCAGGAAGATATTTCACTTCTCCATCAACTTGAAATCTTTAGAGATATTATCAAGTAAAAGTATAAATAACTTAAGAAGTAAACATCATAACAGATCTCATGTTTGTAAAGAAGCAAAGCCTTCATACTTTAACTGATTCTTCTTGTTGAGTGACCCTTTACAGACCATTCAACTTTATGATGATTCAATTATTTCACTTGAAAATAATTGTGTAACAATTTAGAGAGTCGATATGGACAATAATAATATTAATAATAATGATGATGATGATTTATTGCAGAGTATCCAACAAAGTGAGGTTCTTCATCTACTATATCTACACTATAAATCAATCTAAAAAAGAAGAATATACATATAATATTTAAAAAAAGAATAAAAAATTTACAATTGAGTTTACTGCTTAAAATTCCTTACATAAAAGATGTCTCTCCACACTACGACTGATGGAATTGTACTCAGTTATGTTTCTAATAGCTACAGGGAGCTTATTAAAAGTAGTTGCTGACGAGTGCTGAAATGTTCCTGATTCTTTCGGAATAGAAAGGACAGGCGCAATAGAAGATCTAAAGCTATAAGCACCAACCTTGTGTAGATTTAATTTAAGATATTCAGGAAACGAGGATTCAGGACAAGCCGAACTATCTATCAAATAACTTAATCTGGAGTATGTGTTGAAGGGAAGTCAGAATAAGATGTAAGTAAATGGCACTTTCGAAACTTTGGATTTTTGCGTTACCTCTTCGTACTTAAAAATAAATTGACGGCGGATGGAGCGATAAATAGTATTCAAGCTGAAGGCTCCTCGGAGCTGCATTAATTTCAGTTGAAAGTTATTTCAATTATGGTGAGATGAACCCTCCGAAGATGCTCTTAAGTGTTCTATATCAGCAAAGAGAACTAACAAAAATGTACTCGGTAAAAAACGAAAAAATCCCTTTAAAAAAAAGTATTGAAATGTGTCAATCGAACCATGTGAGCAGCTTCGCCATTGTATCATTACCAGATGCGACCGAATGTACAATTTTCTGCGCATCTGCCTGAGATTACATACATTTTTTGATCTGACGGATAATAAAAGCACTTACTCTTCAAGAAAGTCTTGAAATAGCTTTTGTGATCGCTCGGCAAGGTCATCACGGACGTGAGCAGTTCCCGTTGTGCGATCAGCGACGTCCATCTTGATCAAGGTTTGCTGCGATCAGTTGTCTCACATGGAGAAATTTGGCGCGAAAATTTCGTAGCAATAAGATCCCGGATGACATTAAGTGATATTGGAAAATAGGAGAGGGGAGGGTGGGTAATTGGAGCAAACATTAGCATTTGAATAAAAAACTACTGGGTGTTCTCCCTCTTAGAAGTAAGAAACCAAACCACACTAACTCTCTCTAAACGGCGTTAGTCGCTGGCAACGACAACGGATACGACAAGAACACAAGGAAAATCAATTTTATCTACAAAACAAAGCATTTTATTACATCTAACAAACCCCTGAAAATGGCGTTCATGCAACACAATCCCGTTTTGAAACAAAGATCACGTTCCCTTTTATTTTGTGTCGTAAGTCACGGCCGCCTTTAATCACCTGAGTGAATCTATCCTATGAAGCTGGCGGTCTTGTGTGTGTTTTGAAAAAGAGCAAGAAAGCCGCGAGAGGTTAGGACGGACCTTGACCGCTTGTTTCGCGACCGACTGATCACGATTTTGCGGAAAAGGAAGACCTATGTGCAAAATTAAACGATGGATATTTTTACTGCTGTCAAACAGCCTTGTGCAAATAACGACTCATTTTCAACTTTTATCACCCTGAGACACCCAGGGAATTACTTTCACACCCTTGTGTACATAAAAGATTTTTAATATCTTTATAACGTTCATTCAGAACACGCAAATTAATATTCTTCTGCCTTTGTAGGGTTAAGCGGCCCTTGAAACAACGAATACGCGTCAAAGAAAGTAATAACCTGAATCTTTTTTAATCACTTCAAACTTTATCCAAAACTCTGTTGCAAAGCTCAAATAAAAATAGTTTGATATTGGACTCACTTGTTTCTAAGAGGCTCTTTTAAAGGAGCTCTCCAAATATCCAGCCTTGCAGAATATTTGAAAGCAACACAGCCCTTTTTTTTTCGTTAAATATCTCTAAATACTCCCGATCAATTCAGTGAATAGGTTATGACATCTTTAAATAAACTTTTAACCCAATTTCCCTTGAGCAAAATTAATGACTGTTATTCAAACTCTACTATGTTCACATCTCATAATCGAACCGATCTGCAAAAAGCAATTCCTTCATTGCAACGATTAAAAGTCGTTTTCACTATATTCCTTCGTTTTCACAATTAAAAATAACGATATTTGCCTTAGTTAACCTTTATATTTTCATCTCTTCAGAACCACTTGTCCTCAAGTATCGACAATCTTTCATTTCCTCGAATAATTCATCGAGTTCTTTCTCTTCTTCCGCTGTAATAATATTTTTATTTCCGTTTTCTCGATAATGAATCTTAAGAAGCCTCGATGCACTCAATGTTGCGTTCCCAACGCGTTTGTAGTTCGCGCGGGTTATCGCTAGCTGGCTTGTTTTGCGTTTTGTCGCGGGACTTACAGCCGCAAACGCGTTCGAGTGTTTCGATTTTGCGGCTTCATCGTTCAGATCCATGGTTACACGACTCATTGCATCCGAAGAGGTGCGATGGGCGAACTTTGGATCCCATGAAACGGAGCAAGAAAGTTTTGTTTTCGCTCTTGTTGAGTCTGTTCTAATCCCGGTGAAGTAGCCGCTGGAAAAACTTCTTTCCCTTTTTTCATACGTAGCTGTCACCTTCTCATTTCTCGGTCGGTCCTTTAACAAGCTTGGCGAAGCTGGAGTTTTGACGTCTGTGTGTTCAGCTGTAAGGCTATTTTGTCGTTTGTCAGAGCCAACTTCGCTTTCGCTTAGTTTTATCTGTGAAATAGCATGATCTGTAGAATCTTTTTCCTCTATCTTTGGCAAATCAACCTGCGCTTTTTTCCGCTGTGGTATCTTCCGACCACCTTTATCACTCTTACCAGGCACTGTATTAGTTTGAAAAGACTCCGCTATCTTGCCTTCGCCCTTATCGTCCAGCTTATGCAAAGACAATTTTCCTTGGGGAAGATCCAGCACAGACATAAGGCTTTCTCGATTATCTTTTGTTGCTGTCATGAAAATATCATCCCTTGATCCTTGCCAGGCTAATTTAACATCAAATACTTTTTTATCAGAGTCTGATCTTATAGGTTTTCCAGTTTCCGAGGCTCTTGCATCACCGAGTCGCGTGGGTAGAGTGTTTCCTCTCGGTCGCGGGCCAAAATTTAACATGCTCTCGAACTCAGAGGGTAGTTTCAGAAAAGAAATTTTAGATTGTTGAACGGAATGATTACAAGATTTTTCCCGATTTCTTTTCCGCGGCGACGCAACCATTGGCTTACTGGGTTCTGATGCTATCTTTGCTTTAAAGCCCTCCATAACAGATGTATATTCCACTGATGGCGAGAGGGGGCATTGCGATAATCGCCTCAACATTGAGCGCTTTTTCCCAGAAAAGCTTGCATTCTTTGCGTTTGAAGTGGACGGGCTGTTTGCGATTGTTCTCCGTCGAGGAAATTCCTGAGTTAAACTGTTTATCTTTCTCCGTTTCGAATTTTGTTGGGTCTTAATTCTGTCAATTTTTGACCGCGAATCGTTTGTCTCAAATGCATACCCCTCGCTATTTGATCGCACCGTCTCCATTTCGAAATAAATTCCTGTATTCAGCTATTTAACCTCACAAATCGAGGACATCGAGCTTCTTACTCAGTGTGATGAGGTGGCGTCAAAACCTTCTGCGTAGCACTTCGTAAATTCAAATAAACCCGTTTAAAGTTTAAACAGTCTAAAAGCTTTCTTTGATCAGTTTTCGCGCAATGGAAAGCGAGGTCCACGGGTCAAGTAACATTCTTCGCATGTGACTGTCGCATAAAAATCGTTGATGTCCTTGCCACCATACTCCTGAATATACCAAGTTATCTGATTCACGTCCGTTTAACCTCAAAGCTTATTTCGGCCAGTAAACTCCTGAGCAAACACAATGGTACTGAACCAAGCGAGTTTACACAGGCCTCTCAAAATTTCTATGATGGTTAATGAATAACTTTTTACGCGTGGAACCTTTTGTATAATGATCGGGACAGAATTTAATGAGAATACATTATACTTTCTCCCTAAAGCTATTCTTATCAGTTTAATTGAAATCTGTTAAAAGACGTGTTATTTACCTTTGAGTAGGGCTCTTAATGCAACTCTCGGTTGCTAAGTACTAGCGCGAAATAAATAAAATATTGAAACAGTTTGTAAAACCATCAAAAATCGTTTGAAAAGTACCGATGACTCGTTCTTTACTGTCGGGTCATTTATTTCACTAGAGTTTATCTCGTGACTGGTTTAATAATCCTAGGTTTATTTTCATAAATGTTCGTCATTATTTTTGATGGGATGTACTTGTTTCCGATAATTATTTCCGGCGGTTGATATTTTGTCGGTTTACGGTCTTCGAGAAGACTTGGTAAAGCTAGCTGAGATCTGTGGCAGTTGACGCTTAACACAGACTATCAGTCCCTCAACGACGTTCCTCCCTCTGACTTTTTTTGTTTTGCTTTCTGTTTGTTTGTTTGTTTGTTTTTTCTTTTTCATTCTTAGTGTCAGTAATGAACTGAAAAGCCGCTTCCAAATCCCGCTTGTCGGTAAAGACAAATTATAAGGTTCTGCCGGTGCGCGACTCGGCGGTAATTGTTTATGCAACCTTATATGATTTTTGAAGCAATCATATTTGTGTTACCCTATTCCAAGTGTTAATATTAGTAACCAGCGGCGTTGTAATGGCTGTAATTATGGTTTTAAAAGCGATTACCTTTATTGTGGCTAATATAAGTAAGGTGAGGCATTGGTTTTCTTGCTACTGGATAACCATGAAAACCGGTCGGGAAGTCGGCCAGTAAACCGGCAACCCGCCCCTCAGAGAGCGTGGAGGGTGAAACCGGGCTTCCTGAGAGAATTAAAAACAAAATTATTTAAAAATCTGTCTTAAGGCTTGTGGTGGACCACTCCCAGCTACACAGGGTGAGACTGGACATCCTGGTAGACGATCAACACATCTGTCGAAAGGTCCGTGGTGGATTTTTGCTTTGTGACATGCACTACACAATGAGCAGAGATAAACAAACCTATCATCTGGTCAGTCACTTCAACAAATACTGGGGCGGAAGTTTGTCTTGACCTGTCGTTGCCACTGATAACGCCTCTATCTTCCAAGAATGTGCTGCTAGTCCAGCAAAAGATAGCTTAAATACTTTGCAAGCAGTTTCATGAAATGGTCTGTGAGAAAACAACTCATATCGGCTCGGACGTCGCACAGGACAGAGCTGCGCGGAGGAATCTGACCAGACCTAAATGACACAATCATTGCCGCCCCCGACAGACTGCTATGATGATATAAGTCATATAAGTGCATTTTCATTCCGTCGGGGCTCGCTTTGGAGCTGTCTACGTTACCCTGGGACCGATTCGCCTCCAGTCGCTAATCGTCCTTTACTACGGAATGATGGGTAAGAGCACATTAATTTCATTTTTTATTGTCCTTAGTCTGTAATTAAAAAAGGGATTCTTGTAACGGTTTCGATCGAGATATGTCTACTGAGTCTTCGCAAACCGGTCTGTTTGTAATGAAGAATTAGCCAACGGAGCAGAAAACCTTTGTATGATTCCACATAGACAGTTTATTTGGTGGAGCGCGTCATAGCTTATTCAATTATCATGGGTACGGTTTTTTAGCCTCTCGTGTTGGTAACATCTCCCATGCTTTCCATTCGCTCACTCCGAGAGATACTATTTACACGAGAAGATAAAATTCGTATCCATAAGCGGACCAGCTTGCGAGCAGGCCCTTATCACTAACGTTGAAGGACGCGCTTTTCTTCGCCCACGTAAAGATTTGAGACTGCCAGGTCGGGGAAATGTTTACTGGGAGTCCAATAATCAGCGCTAAACCCCATCCAGACCTCTCACCAGCTTGCGTTGCTTGGGTCCTCGAGGCTAATTAAGAGAATCTGCTCGTAGGCTACAGACGGACTTGTACGGGTTTGTTTATTGCAGTGATGCTAATTACAAATTACAGATAAAGAAAAGTTACTTCAGCTTAGGATATGAAAAATAGAAAAAACAAAAAAAAAATGGTTTTCCACTCGAAAAAAACGTTGAATTCAGTCTTAATGTAAGTTCGCAAATTAGGGCAGCTTGGATTGACTGTCGTAAAACCAAAACCGGAGTAATCACATCAGCCAATCATAGGGAAGGTTTGCGTCATCATTAGCCAATAAAGGCTCAAAGTGAAAATTAAACAAACGCCAAAAGCGCGGGAAAACGCGGGCGACCAAGTGATGACTGGATTTCGTTTAGCGGTTGATTGGTTTAGAGCATGACACGAGTCTAATAAAGTAAAACCAAAGCTTTTGCGGATTACTTTCGAGTCACAATTGAAAATTGCTCCAAAAAAATACCCTTCGTGAAAAGTAAAGCCGTTTTGATCGATAAACTTGCTTACAATTATGTAAGTATATACTGAGAAGGTATCATATTTCAAAACAGGATAGAATCTGATATTTCTACAATATTTATATACTAATGTTCCAAAAGCAATTCTTACTGTTAAACTAGGATGAGGCAAGCCTAACAAAAAATATTATTTTCAACAAACACCGGTTTCATTTATCGCCATTAGATGCGCAATCAGTTCCTTATTGTGCAATGCGTCTCTATGGCGCCCTCTAAATTTTTCGATCGTAGTGCTGTTGTTCTTTCCTTTTGCTTTTGTAACTCGGGCTGGTAAATGCCGTTTGTGGTTGGACATTGTAACTTCCTATAACCAAATGTCTACTGATAGGAGTGGTCTTTTACACTGCAGGTCATTTAAATCCTTTGAACCTCAGCTCACAGATTACAGTTTACTTTAGAAGGCGGGTAACGTTTCCAATAGAACTTTTGCGGGTAAATTAAAAGAGAAAGCGCTTCAAATTTGTATAATAATATATATTGAGAAGAGCTTTGAGCACTTTTCTCTCCCTAGGTCCTAACGCAGCATAACTATAGCTGTAAAAAAAAGGGCTATGCAGAAGCCTGGAAGGAATTGTCTCAAGAAAGTATTTATGCAATGCTCTTCCATGTCGGAGCAACAATGGCGCGGCCAAGGCATCTTAAGATGTTCTACTCCTGGTCTAGTCTCTCGCTCTGTAGAAGAACGTTTTACCGCTGGGAGATGCACTGTACATGGTAAACTTATCGCAAAGACCATCCACATTTGACGGGCTGTCGAAGACAACGAGGTCGTTTTCAACTCCAAAGATAAATTTGTTGACGCAGGTAAGAGATGGCGGGAAAATTATTGTGAATGTTAACGGCTTTGTGTAGTTCAAGACAAATACATCCAATTGGCCATTAAGAGATATAAGTAGCTGCCCCTTTACCAATTTGACCTTAACAAATCGCAAGTAAGCGAGCCCATCGACTGTGTACACTCCAATAAATGGTTTGGTATCTGGAGGAAGCACTATTTTCTGAATTGAATAAAAGAAAGTGAAGTTCACTACTAAGCGACAGACTGCTTGACATTGGTTACTTACATCGCTCTTTCTTAGTATAGCCCTAGCATCAGCCCTCATTCAGAAGCTTGACAGATTGTGAGAGTGAGAGGACACATGAGCGATTATGCGTAAATAGGGTCGCGCGAGGAAAATCATGCTCTCCTGCTTCCACGCGCGCTTCTAAAATGGTCGCTCACTAAGATAATAACATCAAAGGAAAATATCATAATGAACCAATCAGAATTAAAAGTTGAAACGAGGAAACCACCTCAACCGCGGGAAAATGCGAGTGACCGAGGTTTGATCGGTTGAGAGATTGGCACGAGTTTTCTCGACCAATCAGAAAACTAAGTACAGCAAATCCATAGCAATCATGGACTATTTCCACCACTCAATTAAAAATTGCTCTAAAAAAGAAAACTTGGCGTAGTCAGTAACTTAAATTGGAAACAATTACCTTTTCCGTTTCTTTTAAGAGGACTTCTTTAAGAGCAGGGATGAAATTCGTGTTAAATTGTTCGGTAAATTGAGTCCGCAGTAGTTCACAATGTGTGCAAAATAAGTTGAAAGCTGAAAATAAAGAAAATGATGGTCAATTTTTTTTTTTTACCTTAAACGTAACTAAACTTCGATGGGGTTCGTCTAAACTGAGCAGAGGCGTAGAAAAAGCTGAGATTTGAAAAATTCAAACCAAGAGATTTTAACATTGAGTGCGAAGAGAACTCTGGTCCCAGACCGCGTCGCTTACGAGCACTGTCTTATTATTAGGGACCTTTATCATTTAGGACGGCAACGCCAAGAAAGACGTCGATAAAAAAATTAATATATATTTTTAGTTGGAATCTCGCGAATTACTGGATGTGTTTACTATCTCTTACGGCGCCGCAAGTTAACATCAGCATAACGTATGAGAGCGGCGTTGAGTTCTAAATGGAAACTTGAATAATTTGCCGTCGGGGTTTCCTTTCTCGGACCACGCAAAGTTTGATGATTTCACGTTGTTAATTTGCAGAGGACGACTAAGAAATGTACACAGTTTTAAAACGCACTGAGCTATATTGTTTTGCACAGTAAATCTTTTATTTTGCCACGTCTTCGTTGCTGTCGTCGTCGTGGTTTGCTAAAGGTCCCTACTAGCGCTGCGGGACGAGCTTCTCCTCACCCGCGAGAAAGTTGAGGCGAGCCAGGAAGTAGTCTGCTAAGGGGTCTGGCACGAGTTATTCATTATCATTGACAAGGCCCTTTCAAAAATGCAATGATGAGGGCATTCTCATAGGCTGCTGCAAGCCGAATTATAATTGTTCTCACCCAGTTTTAACTCTGGCAGAAGTTGGATTACCGCGTGGTATCCGAACACGTCACCGACTTTCCTTCTGACGAGTAAATCATCAAAGATTGTAATCTCCCAAGGTGTCCCAACGACATTCTTTCCGTCACCAAGAATGTATCCTTCAGTGAAATGGGGAGGAGATAAGATATTGCAACTGAATTAGTAGGAGAAGTGGTGGACTAACCATTATAGTCTGCTCTCGATAACGAAGGGAAAATAAACTCACCTGACCTAAAAAAGTCGTCCGCAAGAGCGTTAGAGATGTAGTTGTTGGAGTCGAGGTCAAATAGAGCCGCCTCTAACTGGAAGTTAAAAACCGACGACAATAACCACACAATTAAGCTATTTTATACAGCATGATGACTTTAATAATTGGCGCAGCTAATTAGCTAATTAGGTAGAGAAACTCCATACTTAAGAAAATACAGTAACCTATCAGGCATGGAAAATTTAGCAGATTTACTTCCCTAAATATTTATATCCCGATGTTCGTAATTAAAACTGTATTTCGCATGCGCAACACCGAGGTGCAAGATGGGAAGGTGCACGTGGACGATCAGATGTGCACGAAATGAGTGTCAAGAAAAATTAACCTTCTAGAGCTCCGCTTTTAGCTTTGGCTAAATCTGGTTTTAATTTTTACCCTTGCGCCTGGAGATAAGATAAGAAATAATAGACACTTCATGGGAGAAAGGCAGTCGCGGTGAAAAGAAACCGGCTCGCGTAAAGACAACGATTAACGCATCTTGAAGCAACGTTTTACCTTTGCAAAGTCAGTTACAGTTGAATAGACTCCTCCGCTTGGATTTAGCCATCCCCATTCTTTGACATTAGAGAATTCTGTTTGGCTGAAATAACCAACTGGTATACGTTTCTTTATACTGAAAGTTAAAGAAATAAATTTTAAAAAGGAATTTAAGTGCGTTTTATAGAAAGGAAGATGCTCCCTGCAGCTCAAGTTCCTGTGGCGACCTTGAGTCCTTGACTCCTATCGCTTTGTGGGTTCCAGAACTTGCTTGATTGCGTTATTCCTCTCTCAAATTAAAACCATAAGCTAAAGTAATAAAAACACGCCCAGTATTTACCTGTCGTCCAAGACGAAAGATGTGTCAGTCATTTCAAAGGTGTCAAATAAATTGCTCTTTATCCATCCTTCATAACCAGCCCCATTTCCAAATCTCTCGCCCAGGACCCGACCGAGCAGCGCCATGCCGAGGTTACTAAACAAGAGGACAGATCACAGATACAAGGTCTTCATACGATTTCAATCTTATTTCTCATGAACATTCATATGCTTTTGAAATTTGCAATTAAAAGCATAACATGAGCTAGCATTTGTAAAGCTATGAAAAGCTTTTGAAAAGCGTGTGAAAAATGATATGCCTTCCAAACAATATTTACTTGCTTTGCCTATGATCTTAAAGCCTACATGCGGACAACTCGGAAACGCTTAAGTACTTTAGAGCTTTGACAGAATTGGTGACTTCGGAAGAGCGAACTCTGAATTTCACACTCTTTAATGTTAATCTATTCCGTTGCCCCGTTTCAAGCTAACAATTATTTTCAACTATGAAGAATCAGTCGAGGAAATAAGGGCCTACTAACATTAATTAACGATGAGAAAATCGCAATTTTGGAATACGATTCTTGGGACACTGTCATAACAGTTCATTGATGATGAGTTTAAAATAAAATGAAAAAAAACCTGTAATGCGGCTCTGTACCAGGCGCCCGTAAAAGGGTCACATTTCTAAGCCGCTGTATCATCTGATCGTGACGATAAGGACAGAGGTTTGATCTTGTCTCCGGGTAACAGGGTGCCTCCCTAGGAAGACCGGAACGATGAGACGCCAGCTGTCTAACAAATGAGACAAAACCAAGAAGGAACGTGTGAAATTACTTTGTGATGGTGTAAGGGTGGGGAAGGCGTGGTTTCGGAGTGGGGGAGGTGCTACACTAATCTATCGTATACATTTTGTGTGAATGCGTGCGCACTATTTACATTGAAGATAGATCTCTTGGCATGATTCTAGAAAAGAATGAAATGAAGAGGAATATTTTCTTTGATTCGAAAGAGATTAAAAGTAAGTCTTACCTTAACGTAATTGGGTCGTTCCCAAAAGGATTTTTTACAGAAAAATCACTTTGATAACTGGTGACAGGGTCGTCCAATGATTTGACAAAGCCGTCATTGTGTAGCTTAAACAACATCAATACCTGCAGTGTCGAAAAGCGGCAAATTTTTCAATAACCCTGCTCGTTTGTTCGTGGCCTTTGGTATAAAACTCTACGCTTGGAAGGAATTTTTTTTTTAGACGTAAAAGCTTGAATTTTCTGAGGTATTAGCGGTCTCCTTCCTAATCCTCCTGAAGGCGGGTAGCAAAGATCTCAAGTTTTTTTGATCATCAACAATTTTCAGATCGCAAACGGAAAGGATAAGAACTGTTCATTTCTCCGAAGTTCTAGTAACAAGTGCATGAAATGTAGGAAATTGCCTTTTTCTAGGTATATCTCGAATTACGACCAAGCTAAGTCAGTGGCAATGTACAAAAATTCTCACTTTGAGACAGGAAGATTCTCTTCATCGTGAAGGCAGTAAACCTACTTTCAAAAATAAGCCAATAATTAAAGCTTCCTCAAGCTTCTTGTGACAACTTTATCTCCTACACCACGCGAGAACGCCAGAGCAGACTTGTGCTTTAATTACAAATGTGGGGTTCGATTATGAGGATAATAAATTTACCAGAAACTTGGATTTTCTTACCGTCAACACCTTTGAAACACTCGCCAAGGGGAATACAGTAGTGGCTGAAGGTTTTCTTTTAGGTGTCTCAGAATTATTCATTACACCATTCTCTCTTTTCCAGATCACTTCTTTCATGTAAACGATATTGCCTGTTACAGCCATCTGAAACAGTGGAAAAGGGCAACAGCGAATATTTCATAGCAGTAAATTGCACTGTATCTCAATGATCTCACCATTCAATGCATGTGCTGCATTTGGCAAATGTCAGTGAAAAAATCAATTCATCAAGAAAGTAAACAAAACATGAGATACTTACCGGTCCTCCTTGTTCGACGTGCTTATTGATCAAAGCTTCCAGCTCTTTTTGTTTGGTTTTAAGAAGTTCAGGTAGCGCTGTAAATGGCACAGGTTTTGGGATTGAGAAGCATGGGGGAGATGGAGTTTGTTTCTGAAATAAGACAATAACTCCTTACAAAACAAGACTGAAACGGTCCATCATATTTGAAAGGGAGAACAACCTGGCGATGGGTGGGGGGGGGGGGAGGAGGAGGAGGAGGAGGAGGAGGAGGAGGAGGAGGAGGAGATTAATTCTTATAAAGGACTATAGGGGGGTTTATCTTGAGGGGGGTAGCTTGAAGTAAAAGCGCTGGACTCCTGATCGAAGGACTAGCCTAGGGCTCTACGTTACTTTTAAAAGTTTCATTTGAGTGTCAAAAATAACCCACGATTACATTGGTTTTGCCTTAGTCTTATCTGTGATTGGTCCAGAAAAAATCGCGCCATTCATACAACCAACCAAATTCTAAAACCAATCGCGCCTTGATCCACTCGCATTTTCCCGCGCTTCTGGCAGTTTGGCCGCCGTGATTACTTTCGTTTTGGTTTAATTAGACTCCAGTGAAAAGTGCTCGAAGACTCTGTACTCTCTCGGTTCTCCTCACCCAGGGGTACGCATAGGTCATGGTAAACTCCTAGATCAAATGAAATGCTAGCAGCAAAGGGTGTGTTAACTTTACAATTTCCTTGTCATCCGTCTTGGGGGAAATAATGGTTATCTTATTCACTCTAACAAAATTGAAATTGGGATAAGTTTCGACAGGATGGCCAGACCTGCAAACTGGGTTTGCCTTCACTTTAACCGGCCGGCTAATTATTATTGGACGAATATCCTTGTTACGTTTGCACTTTAGGATGGCACAATCTTACGTACTAGTTTCATAATTTACCATTTTACCATTTATCGTTAACGTATTTACCACTTCAGACTCTGTTGCGTTCTTTCCGTCAACTTTTCCCTTTTCACTCGAGGAATCCCTCGTAAAATATAAAACTATCATCACCAAGAACAGAATGATAAAAAGCACCAACAGTGTGATCAGAATACACTTTATACCGCACGGATTCTCGCGCTTCCGCTTCTTGGGAGGAAGAAACCCGAGTGTGCTTGAACTTGAAGGCAGATGGGGCTTACTCGGCCCATTCTCTTGATATACGTACGCGGCCGAAGGTCTGTGATCGTGAACGGAAGAGTAACTCTCTTCGAACGAATGGGTTTGTGGTCTTCCTGGCTGGTCGTAAGCATCATTCATAATTCCCGTAGGATTTTTAGTGGCTGAAGGAGAATAAAAAAATTATTAGCAAGCCGATCATCATAACCCCAGCACGTACTTTCCGCATATCCATCGTTCACTTCGTGGAGAGAAGCTGAATTAGAAATCCAAGATGGCGGCGAACTTTTATCAGCAAGAGTGCTCGCTGAGCGCACTCTTTTAAAAGAAAGGCTTTCGGCTGTGACTTAAATTTCGTGAATTTTTGTCAAACAGTTTGCAGGAGAATTGGGAACGCAGCATAGAAGTGCAATTCGAGTTGTAGGAAGTTTAGAAGATATTTGGGAAAGAATTTGAGTATCGATTGGGAAGCATCTTTAGAATGAGCCCACGTTTTACATGGGAATTCAGTTTAACAACTATTACATAATGATTTGGAGTGATTTTTGACTTGCGCCGACCTGCAATATAGAAACATTCGACTTTTAACCGCTCTTTGTCATTTATACTAATGAAAAAATCTGACGGATATCAGTTGGAAAGGAAAACTTAGTTACTCCTTGATATAAAATCATACCCGCGCGGCAGCTGCTCAAACATCAGGCCGCCCTTATTGACAAGTGTTCCCCATTTGATTAGCTTAAAGTTGGTCTATGACACAATCTATATCAAGGTGTACACGAGAATAAAAACTGAGATCAATTTATAATCTCTTGAGGTGTAACATTCACGCATTTTCCGCGGTTCTTGCTCATGATCTATTGAAGGACAGACGTTTAGATGACTGCCGTTAACAACATTCGGCTTTTTTTTTAATCGTAAAAATCCAATTAGATTCAATTTTGCCGTTGATCTGCACAGTTATGAATCAAAGAAGACTTCGGAATTTGTTAGGAACTTTAGTGATATACTCAGCTGCACCTCGTGAGCCACTTTTTCGTTTTTACCACTTTTAGTTTTGACGTCAACTGTGATCTTCTATTAAACAGACCCACGACAAAGTGGGATCTATTTGCTATTTATATGATAAGCTAAAGTATATACGCATTTTGGTTGATTCTTGCCTGTGATCAAGTGGATACAGACACGGATGGCGTCACTACTACCAACATTTTGCTTTTCTTTTGATCACAAAGAGTCAAAATATGGTTAGAATTTCAGTGAAACAATGGGCTGTGCATAGCGTATCACTTTTTGTTCTTGCAACACTATGACGTCTTGTTCAGTTTAACAGACGTACGCCAACGTGAAATCTATTTGTTACTTTTATTCTAGGCTAGTGTCGAAACTATTGTAAGCTATCATGGCAGAGCGCGCGAGAATAATTTCCCCGCATTTGTAATACAAGTGAAGGAAAAAAAAACCTCTTAAACTATTGATTTTCGCGTGATCAATTCGTTCACAGTTATATATTTTCTGTGATCTTTTAGTTTTGTGGTGTGTAAACCCCATACACTCATAATCAGTTAAGTTATTCACAGTGCTAATTCCTTTGTTGCTTTGAAGGACTTTATGACGTCAGTTGATATCGCTTACGGGTTGTTTTTATCACGGTCTGATGAAACTTTGATCAACAACTAGAAAACTTGTATTATTTACCCTTGTATCTAAAAGTTTATGTATTCCTGGGTCTCCTACGAAGTGTGGACAAGAACTGATACCTGTTTGATGACAAATTTCCTAGTCATTAGTTAATGGACAATTATCGGCTAAAAACACGCATATTACATTTGTTTTTTACTGCTTAGTGATGCTTTCAATGATATCTGATTTAATTGTCGTCGTGCACCGTTAAGCCAATTTATTTTCAGTTCTTTAAAGGTCAAAGTTTCCAGTTGAATAGCTTTGGAAAATATAATTTCTCCTAACAATTGTCGCGTGTTTAATAGCTTTTCTGCAGTTTTAAGATGATCTTTTAGGTGCTAACCATTGTTTAAATTATGCACACAGACCGGAAATACGCAGGAGTGAGTTTGTCGTAGAAACAGTGACAGCAGTTCATTATCTTTTGTTTATAGTTGGCGTGAAACAACGATCGGGCATTAGTAAATAGAAACGGATTTGATCGGTCTGAGACTCGAAAGCAATTTGAACGTTCATAAAACCTGTGAATGGCTTTACACCTAATAACACTTCAGAAATTATTAACTCAGAAGCCCTCAACATTAAGTGTCTGGCGAAACGAGAAATCATTATGATTTCAACTGATCATCTCGCTTTGATCTGGAATACTGCTCTTGAAGATAAAATGTTGCCCTCAATTTTTGTAACGAGTATAAAACTGCTGTCTTATGAAAAAGCCAGAAAACTGGGTTTAAATTTATAGCCAGCTCTGTTGTAGCAAACGATCATTAGATTCAAATGGATTGTCAGATCAAGACCACACACGATTGATATTCAAAGCAGTTCACGCGAGTTTCAGAGAATATGTACTTAATACACACTGAGTAATTCTGAACGCTTCTGTAGATGAGACAGCCAAAGACAATGTCTAGGGTAAAATTGGAATACTGCGTCCGCGTTGTCTGAGGCTTAAAAGACTAGTAAACGCAAATAACGTAGGATAGGAAATCCGTGTTCCTTATGGGAACTGTAAACACCAGAATCCGAATTCCTGCAGTGCGAGGTCTTTGCATCACACGAACATAATTACCTTTGTTGTACTGCTTTTGTACCTTGGGCGAACTGAAATAAATCCCTTGCAGCGCCATTTTGGATGCTCTTTGGTGATTGAAGTCGAGAGAAAGTCAACTATTTCAAAGGAGCGCTAAACGCAATATTTTTGCATTCCGTTTGATGCATGATAATGAAGGGGTTAATGTAAAGTTACTGAAAGGCATGCGCAATACACCATAAAATTTCTGTCTTTCAAATGTGCGTCATTTGAAAGACTATTCTTCTAAATTTTTTTTTTTTTGTGCATCAAAAAGGACTGTTACTCTGCCCTTCAGGTTAATCTCGTAACACCGAACAACTGAGGGCAAACGGCCTTGCAATGATGAGAGTGCCTCGAGTTGGTTAAACAAGATTTCCATTGAAGTCTGAGAACTTAGAATTGGACAAAAGGGAACTCTACAAGGTGCTCAGCGTTTTCAAAATATATTTTTCTTTCGTAAAACGTTTCCTTTGGAATTATTGGCAAATCAGCTGAAATGTTTTCGGTTACTTAAACCCACAGTAATGAAACAACGCTTTTGATGCCGGTTAAAAAGCGGTGCTTTTAACAAAACGATATCAGAAGTGACCCGGATTTCCTACCAGATTCAAAACGTAATCAAAAACGTTATCGTAAGCTGAATCACGCACGCATTTTAGTTGGTTATATCGGAGTACAATTGCATAGATGACGTTACCATTAACAACATTTTGCCTTTCCTGTCATATAAAATTAATGTCTCAGAAGATGTCAAAAGGTATGGTAACACCAGTGACACTGCATGCGCATAGTGCGCCAAATTTTGACGTCATCTGCCGTATGATACCGAACAGACTCGCGGCAATATGAAAATCTATTGTTAAACTTGTAATGTTCTTTCAAACCTTATCAAATTGTCAAGTAAATGAGTCATTTTTATACGTTATGAACTGATAAATATCTGAATAATGAAGTGAAACCCGACGTTTCAGGTTGGACCAAAAATATATTTGAAACTAAGAAATAGTTTGAGTATCTTTGATGAAATTACAATAGTTCAAACAGAGGAGAGCAAAAACCATTTCAATCTCTAATTTTGGCAAATTATCTCAGACTTAACCTCTCCAATCAATTTTTCGCGCTAAGATTCCTAAAGGAATAGATAAACTGTAAAGAGGAAAATCAAATCAAGAACAACACAGTCAGTTTTAAATCAAATGTTATTACTCATTTTCAGCGAATGACTCCTCTCAGTAAGTTATAAATTTTTAACAATTTGACCCTCACAAATGCTACATTATAATTTCCGCAGATATTTTTGTAATTTTTTTGGATCTACGGTCGGACAAACTTGTGCTTTAGTTGGAAGCACAAGCGATTTCCTTAAAAGGTTTTTTTATCATAACATTTCTCAAGTTTGGTCTCCATTACAGCAATATTTGACCTCGTTTCCACAGAGAAATTTATCTTCTGCTTTGAGATTATCATATCGTTTGACTTATTGTGATTAAAACAATTGCAATATGTTTACAGTATTCCTCGAATATCTTATTCAAACTCGTGTAGTTTCGTGTCGAGAGGCAATGTTCATTTCACGGCAGGGATCCGCTTAATAACTTATTTTCGATAGTTTTCTCGCGGACAAATAATACAGCGTACATGTATTTGCATAGAAATGGTGGTTAATATGGTCGTTGGCAGATCTGCGAAAATTGTATTTAAGCTTTAGCACATGCATGAAAGGACAACCCTTTAAACGTGACGACAACTGCTGTCAGAACGAAGTTTGACTGTTAGCGAGGCAAATGGTTACATAATTAACCGAAAGGTGACATCAATTACAAGCGTTTGTAATTGATAAAACAAGGTGCGCATAGAACAGCTGAAAAGTAGCTATGCAGATTTAAAAACAACGTGAATAGCACAGATAGCTGTAGTTTAAAGCTCTAGCTTCGATCGAAACCGTTTATAGTTTGAAATGTTTCAACATTTGCCTACCTTAATTAAGATAAACAAGGAAGCGGACAGGAAACTGCGGCGCCAAATTACGTAGGAGAAAGAACGAAACCATTGACCGTGGTAAAGATTGGTTTGTTTTTAAGTTCATCAGAATCTTGCTTAATTACAAAACAAACCTTTGTGAAAGGACCGTGAAATCATATGCGTAGTATGTTACTAACTTTAGATTAACAGCGCGCGCTGTTTCTTTAAGGTTTGGCCAGAACTCAGTGTTTAATCGAAGTCCTTAAGTTTTTTTTCAACTGCTGGGAAGGTTCTGGTTCCTTCTGTCTAGACTTAGGAGAGAGTTGACGAGGCCATTGACAAAGTCCACTTCGGGACTGCGGTAACCCTGATTAACAAGTATTAGACGTCGGAAAAGGTCGTTAATTACTTTACGACAACCATGACTGCCGGCTATAAACCGTTTTAAGACGCTCAGCGTAATCACCAGCCGTACGTCGGCTCCTACTTCATCATACTGCTAAATTTCCCCTTACTGCTCTCGATTACGTCGTCCCAAAACAATACTTCGGTGCTATCAGTGTCTTTGTATGTATTTTGGGCTTAGTCAACACGTAAAAAGGTTACATATATAATGCAAAATTTTAAGAGGAGTTCTCATCACAAATGTTTGCCGTAAATTTTTCGTCCAAACTCGAGTGCAGATTAAAATGTTAAAAAAAAAAAGCCTTCCAGTCGAGTAGCTTGGTTCGAGTGCACAAAAAGAAATTAGAAATCAAAAACCGTACTAAAAAAAACCATGTAGTCAGACTATTATTGACGCCCTCTGTTATTACATATTATTCCGTTGTTATGGTTGGGTAAGTTTCCATCCACATCTTGCCATACAACCCGGATTTACAAATTCAGAGCGAACCGCCCCAATTAAACAAAAGCTTTGGGTAAATAGCGGAGGGAAGGAAAACCCTGGAATATTCCCTATTTGGAAAAAAAACCTTTCATTTTGGATGGAAAAATAGCTGAAAATCTTCCTCCTGTCCCAACCTTCCTAAAACCCGACTCCACTCAATTAAAAATCAGTGCGAGGTCGCTGTTCTCTCCAAAGTGAGGCCTTTGATCATCCGAAGAGAAGAAGCGTGGACTCATTTTATGAAAGGAGACTGTTTCACAAGCCAACCGCGAAAACAAATAATTTTTCTCGTTATAATGATAAAAAATATAGATGGTGAATAACTTCGCTTCGGACCTCGAAGAAGAAAATAAAACCTTTGACTTAACAGTACTATTAATAGTGATCTTTAATTTGAGAAAGTTTCTTTAGACTTAGAATATTCAGTTTAGCTGCATGTACATGCTTTCATTGGCGGGATGATTATGTGTACTCTTTCATAGTGAGCTGAACTTCTCTCTTTAGTACTGGTACAATATAATACAGAATTAGCTTCTATTGAAAATTATTCACTTCCGACGCATTTTGTGTTAAAATTGTGAACATGAACGCTGCCATTTTGACGTCTTAGTAACCAAGCCTCACGCGCAAAACCGCGGCAAGCAGCTCCCAGACAGTTTCTGCTCTAGTAATCAGGGGAAAAAATTATTATTTGAGTCAATAAGTCTTTTTTGTAATGCTCTTAATCGATTAAAAAAATCGCTAGAAGAGGGAAAAGTAGTGAAACTTTGTCACCTCAGAGAAATGGGCTGGGCTCTGTAGTATAAAGGGCGGATAACGCTATCCACAGGATAAATCGCTATCCAGCTGATAAAAGTGAACAAAATGTTTTGCGTTATCCACAGGATAAAGATTTATCCAGTGGATAGCGTTATCCACTCTTCGAACAACTGGAGCGAGGCTGTTAAGCAAACTTCGAAATGGCGTTCACAGTTAATTATTAGCAAACCTAAAGATAATATTTGAAAGGTTAGGTTATTCATTGGAATTTAAAAAACACAGCCAATACAATAATCAGCTTATTATTGTAACTGAGTTTAAAAAAATTTGCGGTTTCTGCAGCGTAGCCATCCTTCATTAGACTATATTAGGACTTTCCTTATGATACATCTTCGGAAAAACTTTCTCTTCTCCGAATACTCCTCGTACTCAAGGCTTTTTAAAACCTATTCCTCATTTGCAGGGAAAAGCGCTCTTTTAATATCTTATTCCACGCATACTATGGTCTCTTACATGGATAGCTCGTCCCCTTTTCAGCTCTTATCAGATATATAATTCTCCTGCGGAAATCTGAAAATTTTATATTGCACGACTCGATTTACAAAGTCCTATCCTCTTCATCGACGAAGTCAGTCATTTTCCAACGTCTCATTATGATCTGGAAGTATTTTGAGATTATAAGTGTTATATTCCTTTGTAATAAGAAATGGGTGGTCTAGTGCATCCAAGGACCTCCTTAGTCACGCCTGGTACATTAAAACTTTTTTTGCGGTTCATCTGTCACGTGCAATCCTTCTCGAACGCTTGAAAACTACTTAAGTATATCGGCTCCGTCACTCCTCGATATTTTGCACCTTTTCCAGACACTGTTAGCTTTCCATGGCGTAAAGGATTTATAATAAATCTGCAAGTGCGCTACACAGCTTTGTATTTACAAATGAGCTTGCCATAGGCAAGATCACAGTTGGAAGCATGAATTATAAAAGAAGAAAGTATTTGAACTCGTTCAGCTTCTCACCGCGTCCACAAGGATGAGGGTGCAACCAATTCATAACTGTTTTCTGCGAAAATATGCCTTTCCTCGAAGATGGAACCCAAACACCGTAAAGCCAGTTGAAACCCCGTCTGGTGAACTTCCTGGAGGGTCAAAGTGCACTCTCTCGTGATTTATTCCCATTAAGGCAATCAAAAGACAATCTACCTTTCTTCGGTCAATGAGTTCAAAGGTCGTTCCTTTGATGTGATTCAGACGAAAAACATGGTTGTCCACGGCAAAAGTCATTTTTCCCTCGTTGTACCTGATGATGACTCTCCTAATGGTGGGTACATCATCTGTGAAAAACTCTCCCAAATAAGGAGCCGCCTCTTGTTGTTGGATAGTTTTCTGTTGCTGAAAAATTAAAGAGATTAATTGATGATTAGATCATTCAGAACCAAGAAGACTCAGCGGGTATCTCCACTGATGCTAGAGAGGCAGGCTGCCATAGCCTTCGGCCACTTTCTTTCCGTGATCTCTTGGCGACCCGTATAAATAATTAGAGGCTACACGAAGGGAAGTTCTTGGCTCTAGAGATCTAATATATTGTTGTTTTTTTTTTCGATAACCAGAGCCGCACCTGTTTATGAACCACGTGTTATGATTTTTTCTTGTATAGCCAGGTTACTGAGTTGTTTTCAAAATGACGGCGTCCAAATTCGAATTTTTATCATATTAGAAGACAAATTTCAAACACATCAGTTTCTCTCTAGAGTCGAACACAGCAAGTAGGTATCAAGTTGTTGAACACAATCTTAATTGGTCGAGATAAAAATTACAATGTGTCTGAGCATACTTCCCGTTTAAGCATTCAGCTCACTGATTATAAAAGTAATAACAACGAGTTAGCGCCTGCTCAATATTCCATGGTTACCTTCACATCTCTGGCCGTTAGTTCTTCGTGGAATGCTATCAACAGCCTCTTAACGCTTGGAAAACAGCAGCCTTTGCAGCTTCCCGTATTAAAGATGTTGAACGCTGGAAAACAACAAAAAAGGATCAGTAATAATTTGGAATATGACGCCCAAGAAGATCTGCTCAATGCAGTTTTATTCCGCGTCCTCTGAGTGAAAATAATAATTCTTTGACAGCTTGTCACAACGAGTCTCTGATACGGAAACTCAGGGGCTAAATGAGTAACCGCACACTTTTACAACAGGCCTGATTGCATAGCTCTAAAGGAATGATCCTGACGCTGGTCCACTGCAGAATTTAGCAGCAAAGCAGCAAAGCAGCATTTAGTTTAACTTAAAAGGGACGTATTTTTCATGCAATAGCCCGGAGAATGTTCTACTCGCACCATTGTGGCCTGAGGTGGACTCCTTAACCTTATATCACTTGTTATTGGTTCTTAGTCTTCCTGCGGGGGTTTTCCTTCAGCCCAGGCTCTTCGTTTCCCCCGGCCTAAGTTTTCCTGCCCCCAAAAAATTCAACATTTCTATTCGAACTGGAAAATGGAGGACAAGTGGAAAGGCAGTGCTGAAATTTACTTTACTTTTCAACTTTGAATCTCATTCATTAATTCCAAAAATGTCAGATGTAGACAAACTTACCAAGTTTCAGCTCGGGAAAGAGGAAAATATTTGATGAGTAGCCATACACAAATCCATTTTTCATCCTTGCAATATAACCGTTCATGAGAAACATCTCCCATGGAGACCCAATGAACTGTTTGCCATCCAGGATAAAAGCTGCAAGGAAAATACCTCAAAATAACACATCTCGTATTGAGACAAAAGTTACGCAATATTTTTCGTTGCAGGTTAACTGGTAATCTATCTCTAAACTCCCAGATCAATCGGTAGTGAACTCTTAGAAAAAAAAAGACAGAAAAAAGTTAAAGAACTCCTCACCGGGTGAGAAAAATTCTTCGGTCAGGACAGGGGATAGAAAGTCGTCCTCCTCCGTGGAATTGAAAAGCGTAATCTCCAACTGAAGACAAGACAACAACAATAATGCTATTATTAGATCAGTTAATTTCATGCGATTGGCATGAGAGAGATGGTATTGAGTGTAAGGGAAAGGGCAAGATGACAGAGAAGGAGGCCGAGGGGGCAATACTGGGAACTACAAATATAGACGCAAAGGTGATAGTAGTACGGATTTGGTCCAAATTTCAAGGACGAAAATCTCTTTTTTTTAGGAAGTTATTTAAATGAATGGAAATCAAGCATTAACTTGTGCAAAAACTGGAAACAAATACCAGCAACATAGTACTTAAATTCCCTACTCAACACCACTTTGGATCGTTTAATATGATGTTCGTTGTGCGCCATCATCATCAAACAAAAGCTCAGTGGTTCGTAGGAGTTATAAAATCACGCAAATAAAGGGGGCGACAATGAAACCCACACATTCCAACCTGGCCAACCAAGCAGCCCAACAGCCGATAACGATCTTTTCTCATTCTAAACACTCTATATGCCATCTGTGCCCAAAAATTTTATCCTTAAAGAAAATTTTTAACAGTTCAACAACAATTTTTTGCGATAGTAAAGTTTCTTTCTGACACTACCTTCGCGAGATCCTCCAGTGACGTAAACATTCCACCAGCTGGATTGGCCCATCCCCACTCAAATGGCTGCAGAGAATCCTTCCCAAGAAAACCCACGGGAATTCTTTGCCTCAACCTGTCGACGGAGAAAATCAAGGGAATAAATAAATGAAACCAAATAAACTTAATCCTGGACTACTCTTCAACATTCAATTCATTTATTTATCTATTTTTTTGTAAGCGTGAATTAAGGCCTATGTTATCACTCACTTAGGAGTTAACTTGAATCCCGAGTCATGCATGCCCAGCGGATCAAAAACACTTTTCTGCATCCACTCCTCGTACGAGACGTTTTGCGAAAGGGCCAGTCCTTGACCAAGCAGCCCAAACCCTAAATTACTTGAATATAAAGCAGTGTTATCACTTAATAAGCTTTCCAGTTATTTGTTAACAATATTTAAAACTGAAAGGAATGGAAAGTAATAATAAACTGACAGTAAACTGACTGAAAGTAATAATAAACTGACAGACCTGTAGCTGACTTTATTGCCTGGTTCAGCAACGAGAGTAAGGTTCTTTATACGATCTAACATAACAGTATTATTGTCTGGACAAAGGTTCTCTTTCATTTCTTTAAGACATGGAGCTTCTCGTGGAATACCAGACATGTGCGAAACCATTTCCCTGAAAGAAACGAAGTGGTTCAGCCTATTTGACAATTGTCCTCGTTTTCAGCAGAAATCAGACCTGGACTAGGTGAAATCCCCACAGGGGATTCCGAGTCCAATACTTGTTGAAGTAATATTAAAAATGATTCCGAAGTATTTTCATTTAAAAGAAGAATTTTACTCATTGAAGTATTCCCTTTTTACGGTGGCAAATTTACTTTATTACCCCCGTTGATAAAACCAAATGTTGCTGTAACACTCCCCCCACCGACGCAGCAGCACAGTTTCTTCAGAAACTTACCTTCTTTATTCTGAAATGAGTTAATTGGCAAAATTATTTATCGAATGAGTTTCAGTGCATCGATGAGCCAATCAGTCAATGGTTCTCCTGCACCAATTGTAACATTACTACACCGATAGTTTTACTTTCTATATCTTATTTGTCTTCCTAACTGTGTCTGTGATGGCCCGTCAGTCTGATTTTCTGTCTGTTTGCCTATGTAGGTCCATGTCATTGGGATCTCGCATCAAGTAACATTACAATAATTACCTGAGCACGATTTCATGAGAGTTAAATGGATCCTTGATTGAAAACTTTGGCATATATTTCTTGAAAGGGTCATCCAGTGACTTTACCTTCTTCTCGTAGTAAAGCTTGTAAAGCATCAAGGCCTGAAAAACCATAACCAAAATGATAAATCTCTGTTATTAACGATATATCAAGGAGTGTTTGTTTCGGAGTAGGGAAATCGAAAATCAAATAGAAAATTCCACATGAAGCGACGAGATCAGGCATGGCTCGATCATTAGGGATTTAGTTTTAAGAACGGAGATGGATTTAAAAAAAAATGCTGCGGCAAATTTATGAAATGATGGTCCTTATTTCATGCATCAGTGTTTCAAGTCTAATACCTGGTAAAACAGAGGCACTTACCGTGAAGACCTTAGTGACACTTGCCACGGGGAACACTGTTTTACTAGACAGATTTGGTGCTGAGGGATTTGATCTGTTCATTTTGCCATACGAGCGCTCCCAGATTACCTTGTCCATGTAGACAACGTTAGCCATGATGGCTATCTAAAGGAGAAATGAAGACAATTATCAAATTGTGTCGAGCAGGACTTTGATGTCCAAGTTTTGATGGATTATTAAGTAAGATGGTAGGACAAAGCTGTAACTGACTGTTAAGCCTGTATGAAACTGGAGCGGATGGTGATGTGAATCAATAACACAGACATACTCGGAAAAAAAGAACTCCAAGTGCTTTAATTGGAGTCAATCTACAACCTTCCGATTAGTACTATGAATGCTCTACACTGAGCAATAGGAGACTCGTCGCAGGCTAGGCCGTTTAACTAGGTCCAAAATGACAAACTTCTCCATACTGCTAGAATAGGAATGTTAATCTGATTATTTAAGTGAAAGATGATGTTGATGATCAGTAAATAACACAGGCATACTTCTAATTCCTACAATCACCATGAGGCCAGAACGTCAAAATTCAGTTGGAAAGAAGTGTCCCTTCCCTTAAAGCGAAGAGCAGTCAACGAATCTTCTAGAGACAACATGTCCAACCTCTTTCCAAAAGTCGGAATTGTTGCATCACCAATTGTCACTCAATTTGAGAAAATGGGTTATATCACACCACTTTCTCTTTATACGACCCTGCCGTGCGGGGCTGTCCGATCCTTTCTACTTCCAACTTAATCCCTGAACTACCAGTTTATGTCTTACCGTATCATCCTTAGTGTTGGCCTCCTTCAATGCACGCTCAATTTCTATTAATGCTTCTTCAATACTGATCGGCAAAGGTTCCAGTGGAACTGCTTCTGCTCGTACGGGGCAGGCGCTTCTTGGCGCAACAATTGGCTTCTAAGTAGGAACACATAGTTACCTTTATGGAATCGATTTCCATCTTTTACCGGAAGGGAACTCAGGTAATACGTTCGCAAAGAATAAAACGGACCTTGATATCTGCATACTCTCTGTTTCCGCATTAATGTAACGAGAAAAGCCACGAATATGGTACAGAAACTAATGATGACACAGTTACTCTCTTAACCAATTTAGAAAGCATCAAACAACAAACAGTAACGAGGAATTATATTCTGAGCTTGCAGTTGCGAATAAAAACTTAGCTGATCAGTCAAAGCCAAGCGAGGCCAACCAATTATAATTTTTGTTTTAGTTAGCCGACAAATTGTTCCAATCATAGTTTCTGTTTGGTTTTGGACCTTGACCACCGATCGTAGGGACAAATAATCTTTGGTGTCGTACGTGAGCAATCAGAATTGACCTGCCAAGTCATCAAACATTTTATTTATTTATTGTCAGCACGTTTCGAATTTCGATCTTACATGTCAATTTATATTTCTAAATGCTATTTTGATGAGCAAAACTCTTTCGTCACTGAGATGAACAGCATGGGAATGAACTCTTGCGTAAAAAAGCCAAGAAATTGTATTTTAAAATATTTCATAGTCATAACGCTGTGTTTATGATGTCTCTTGTATAATTGGAGATTTCCACGTCTACCGATTACGATAATGATTAAGTCTTGATGGAACCAAACCGATTCCGGCGCTTAACCTACTTATTGCCAGCAAAAGATCGGGAAATCCGATTGTATTCAAAGCTGGTCAGTAATAAGTTTACAAAAGTTTAGAATGTTCCGGAGAAAATTGCTTGCGCGCTAGTTTTGAAAGGGCATCATTACACGACAGGTGTCAATCGCTTTTCACTTGAACTTTATTGGTTTCTTAGTAGGTTGTCACAAAACAAACTTTAGATTTTAATTTTGGTGACGTTTGTCGCATACCGGTATGACTTCCGGCCAATATTGTTCGATATGTCCTCAAGTCTTGTTTGTACAGAACACGCATTTAATCTCAACCGAAGACATTCTTTTTAATGATATTTATTTATAATCAAACAGCAATTTAACGGCTAATCGAGTTGGAAAAATAATGAAATTATCCGTATCAATTACTCTACGTGGTGTGGATTGTGAAGCAAATACAAAAAAAAAATAATAAAATACGAATGAAGGCTGAAAATCAAATCTTTAGATTTAGATTACTTTTTTGTTATCAAATGCTAAAATAAAACGATTATTTGTTAAGCCTGCCTTTCGCATAATGGTTTGTGCCGAAAACTCGGGTCCATTACGGAAGGTAAAGTTTACAATCGTCGCTTCCTTTGAAGTTTCTGATAGGCAAAATTTTAGGAAGCAGTTTGCTTTCGAAATGCTGTTCTTGCTAACGGTCAATCAGCCATGAGTGATATTACAGCACATTTCATAGATTTTAAACCTTCGATTGAACTGTGGTGAAGATTTCCCAACAGAATATTTAGCAATAAAATCAACATCCGCTGAGAGAGTCATTTCAATGCTCTGACATTCAACACTCTTTGAAAATTAACGCCGATTATGTAGTAATTGCAAATCGTATGAAACAAACGGTTCATGCACAATTTAAGTAATATTATATTATAAACACTAAACGCAATGTGAGCACGTTAGGTGTACTTTCGCGGAAAAGATTCGTTAGATTTTGAGCCGATTTTGAAGCTGATATTGCATCCCAAGTGTAAACATATTGTTTTGAAAGAAATGTTTTCCTACGAATGCAGCCGGTTGATCTTCATTTGACAACTGTAACGGAAAGTGTACGTGTTATTTCAAAACAGGATAAGGCAGTTTTATCGGTTGGCAGCGCCATAGCATCGCTCTGGTCTTCAACAATGTGATGAAACGATTAAGATGTGCTTTTGCAATAAACTAGAATAGTACTTTTATTTAACCAGATACTGAAGTAATACAGTTTAGGAAAACTTCAAACAGAGGAGCGTTAGGTCTTTATTTTGGGTGTGTCTTAATGGTAATATAATCTTGTCTTTGCGAGCTGTGCGTTCATTTTTATTCACGGAATATTTGGTTCCCACTTGCCATTTTACAATTAAGGAGCGAAAACGTTCATTTATATCAAAATCCACCCACACAGCCTGTTGCAGTTTTGGTAAATTATCAATGTTATTACCGCATTTTCAGATCCTAATCCACAAGACTAAGAGAGGTTGACAGAAAACATGCAGAAAATTCTATGCAAATAGACGAACAGAGAAATCACGTATTATATCATTTGTGGGATATCACTTGAAACTACATGCCGTAAAAAGGTGCTAGATACTTAAATTTATGGGTAAGAGAAGATGATAATAAAAATAATATCTTGTCACATTTGTCTGCATCAAAATTCTAATATTACATGCCGTCAAAACAACAGTAAATCCAATTCAGTGGTAGGTATTTCGCTGATTTGGTGTGGGGTGGCGGGCATACGCACGAATTTAAGATTGAGAAATTAGGATAAAAATTCAATTTTGGAATCGATGAAGTGCAATTGTTTGGAATCGTACCTGTTCGAGATGACGCTTTTCATCGATTTTGTCCTCAAGTTTGTAATAGGACATTCTCCAAACGAATAGCGCAGTCATTACCATTGACACGATGATGAAGACCGCAAGAAACAGAGTCAACTGGCGTATTCGTTTCGAGTAAGCTCGGACGGTAAAATTGTCCATCTTGCCCTTGCTGTGGTGATCTGACCAGAAGCCGTTGGTGCTTGCACTTCTAGGCAGCGCACCTAAGAAGCTGTCTCTACCGGAAATTTTAGCGTCGTAAACATTAAATGACATCTGCGACTCCGCGCCTGGGGATTGGGGCGATTCCGGTTCCAATTTTCCCAGTCGGTTGTCCGTGTCCATGTTGGGATCTGGGTGTAACTGTAGTCGAGTCATTGAAAGTGTTCCTTTCTGTTCATCTGAAGCCTTTGAAATAAAGGAATAGAAATACTGATATGGATAACGCAAAAAACACACTTAAGAACTTTTAGATTCAATTTTCACGAGACAAAACAAAAGTAATAACAATAACCAAAAAGGGCCCCGTCATAATTTATCGCATGGGAGTCCCCCTCCCTTAAATTCTATGCACCTCCCCCCCCACCTTTCGGATATAACTGATAACTGGTCCCCAGGAATTAAAGGAAATTGTTGGGGGAGACAATGAGAACTCAAACAAAAAACACGCAAATTGCTTGAAGAGTCACCAAGTCTGAAATGGTTTAAAAATTGAGTTTGCATTTGACCACGAGCCCTAAACTTCCGTAATGTCTGTTTGTGATTTGCGATCTGCAACTGGCAGCAAAGGTAATCGACGCAGCCGGCGGCTAATCGAAAAGTTTCAACAGTCCACTTTCTCTTCTGTTTGCAATCACCGGCATGCTTTATGGTTTTGTTTGAGATTTGTTATTCGTGAAAATAAAATGCGTTTTTGCCAGTCACAGGACACAGTGAAGTAAACCCAATGCTATATAGTTATCATAAATCTTATTATTTCCTAAAGAGCTAGTTTGACTGCGTCGGCGGGAAGTGAAACAGTTTAGTTGGCAATGAACTTCTAGTGACACCGCTGTGTACAAGGACACTGAACGCAATCCAATACAGTTGCAATGGGATTGCTTTCCTCACTCCATTGCTCATAAATCAGCAGTAATATCTATTATGTTCGCGTGGGAGCCACAAGCTATTCACTTTGAATTCAACACAGATTACACGCTGCTGTAAACTTGGTCATAACTCAGCTATTGCACAGTTACAAATAGCGCGCTTAGCAGAAACTATGTTAGTTGAAAGAAAACTTGTTGTATTTTTCATGTAACGTAAGTTTATTGAGAATAGCTCTTTGATCAATATCACAGAAAAAAAACCTTCTCACAGTTGTCTCAAGAAGGTTATTAAGATCGGAAATTACGCGTTGATTCTAATATATAACATTAAAGTTTTAAATTTGTGACTGTTATATAAATTACTGCGGTAAAGGTAAGTTATCGTGGACTAAACTCTGAGGCTGGACAGCACGCAAACCACAGAGAATGTCATTCAAAGGTTTTTAAATTACTTTTCATTTAAATAGACTCCTACTTTTAGACTCTCATAATGAAATTCACCGACGTTCACGGCCTTTCCGTCGTACAGTTACGTAATTTTTATGAAATGAGTACAACCTGTTAGGAATTATTAGTTTTGGATCCTTGACAACCAACTTAAGATTATTTTATTTTTAGTGCAAACAAGTGAGTGTCAATGTAAACTGTTGACTGAATCTTGTCATTTCAGCACTGCCGTTGTTGGTGGTATGTGGAGATACGATGCTTGCATAGAAATGGACCACTCTTTCATATCAGAAAAACGACCGACGGCGAGAGAAATTCAAAACGTCAAACAGCGTACCCACAAGTATTTTTATTGTAACACGTCTGAATGGAGGTTTCATTTAATGGCGCCGGCCTTTGTTCATGGCGCTTTTAGCATGCTTCCCATTTTTAAAAAAGAAAGTTCTCTCTTGTCTGCTTGCCTCTCAAAAATAATTTGTCGACGTTTTGAAACTAATGCACAGCTCCGCCTCTAAACGCAACAATAAAGTTTTGCTAGTTGTACCTCGTCTGAATCAAAACTTGATCAAGTTTTATTGTCTTCGCTGCATTTTTCTTTTCGTAGTTCAAAAAATTGCGCACCCAAGCTTGAAAAGTAATCTTTGCTCTGATAGACTATTTTCCTTAAGGAAGTGATGGCACAAATATTTTTCTGTTTTTTTTTTTTGCTTAAAACTAGCCCCAGGAACTATGTCGGCTTCGCCTGTGAAATTTAAGACTTAAATTAATGAACTATTGCGCGTTCTGTCAATTTGTCGAAAAGCTGATACCAACTCGAAGGAAATTATTTGTAGGTATTGTTGTGATAGACTATACCAAGCTAGTCAACAAAATGAAATACAAAATATTTCTCCGAGAGAGCGCAAATTTTTGTCAAATTTTAGTTATTGAAGGCAAACAATGATAGTGTCTTGACAAGGGCCGGCGAAGGAAAGATACCTTTGTAAATTGTCGACCATACAGAATTATATAACGCTTAGAAATGACTACTGCAAATTTCCCCTATTTTACCTCGTTATCGCTGAGTTCGTTCGGTCGAAAAGGTTCTGAAGAGATCTTGCAACTTTTGGTGCAAAAAAATATTTTGAGTAATAACCTTTCCACAAGGGTTTTAAAAGAAAACTCTACAGAGAAATCCATGAAAACAGCCTTTCAGTTAGTTTTATTAATAACAAGGAATTAATAAATAGCTGAAACCGATTTGATTGCAAGTTAGTGCGAGGAGAGACAAAATTTTGCCGTCCGGTGTAGACCTGCAAAATATCTGTGCCACAAAGAAATCGACGACAAGTGTCTGACGATTGTCAATACTTCAGTGAAGTAAACCAGTAGTTAATTAGGCTTATAGTTGACAAGTGAAAAGCCCTTGGATTATCAAAAAGTTAGCACAAATAATTTCTAGTTCGTCGAACGAGTTAGTAGAAAAATGTTTTTTATTTCTACCGATTTGAATCAAAAAATTACACTGTAAGAGCGATTTCAATGACGACATGCATTGTCAGCCCACTAAATATTGTTTTTCCCATTCTAACTGCTTGCCATGATAAGAAGCAGATTAATTATCGACTTCGTTCATAAGCATAGCAAATCAGCCACCGGGCATTTTGAACAGCGCGATGTAAACATGGCGTTTAAGTCTGTGCTTTCACTGTTTTTGGTCGTCAAGATTTCCACACTCGGATTTTAAGTTCAACAAAAATAGCTAGTGCGGGTATTCCCACATCGCATTCCCAAGAGTATGACAGAGAAAGTAGTAAAATAATAGTGAAATCAAGGTAGGTTTAGGCGGCAAAGCGGTACAGAGTATCAAGGCAGTTTTTTTGGCACTTACCTTTAAAGAGCAGCCGTTTTCTTCTCTTTTTTTGGACGAAAATTTTTCGTTGCTTCCAGCTGAGTTTCGAACAGAAACAGCTTTAGACATTACTGGCGAATAGGCGACTGAAGCTTACAAAAACGTTCTCAGGGTTGAGGAATTCTGTTTGTTGAACGGACTCCCCGAGGACACAATAACGTCTGAATACTGATGCTAAATTACATAAATATCTGCATAAATCCTACACACCGACTTAATTACTTCATCATGTCACCAAATGGCTTTACCTATCAATCGACATTACAATTATTGTACACAATCGTATCAAATACTCCTGAAATATTTCCTGTTCTTTTAGTGATAGCCTTGTTTGTTCACTTTTCATGGTATGCAAAAACAAAAAAAAGCGTGGGCTGCGACTTTTAGACTGCTCCTACCTTACACTCTTTTTGTGCGAGTTTGCATTGTTGTCTTCGCTGTCTAGATTTATCTCTAGCTTTCATGGACATAGCTATGACGAGACAGATTGTCTTGAAACGTTGGGATCTGATTCCGCTCTCATTCGGGTTGTATACAGGGCAGAAACCCACCATATCACGTCTCACTTTGGTGTGACACAGCTCGTGATTAGAGATCAGAGTCCATGGAAGCCTTTGGTAAACACAAGCATCTGTTCTTGTGTGACAATTAAAAGAAATGCCTTTCTGTTTTTATAATACTGGCAATTAAACGCGAGAGAAGTCAGAACGCGCAGTTGGCTAGGACAGGAAGGGGCGTGGAAGATGTCACAACCACAACATGCGCCTCCTCTCGAGACATTTTTCATGGGCATGTGACAAAAGAACAGAGATTCACGATTTTTGGATAAAAAAATTACTGTAAGTACTTTTGAAATGGAGAGTGTTTATTTTTCGGAGATTTAGATCATGGAGACAATGGCATCTACAAAGATGGATGCAATTAGCTCCCCAATATCACTATCTGCCATGGAATTAATAGATAACTTTGGAGTTGATAGAAGGGGTCAGGAGCCCAGGGGCTTCTGAAGGGGTATAATTCTTATGGATGGTAAAGTTATCACTAACAATTAACGGTCTAATAGGCATAGATCCGGGTTTTGCAGAAGTCAAAGTTTAACTACTTGACAGCCTACTGAGGTCCTTACCGGGCCAAGGTTTGAGAGGCAGCGACCGAACGGTAAAGGTTGTGGTTATTGAACAATAAAAAAAAAACAATCAAACAAACAAACAAAGAGAGACAAAATAGAAAAAAAAGGAAAAGCAGAACAAGAAAAAACGGAAAAAAGTAAGGGTAGAATCGGGAGACGTCACTTAACGCTCGGTGATGCGCACGCACTGTCTTTCATTCATCTTTCGAAACCCATTTCAAACTGCATAACTCAGGCCGGCGAACTAACGCGTTAATCGTCAAGAATATATCCTGGTTTTCGATAAGGATTGTTACTACAGTTGTAGTAAATATTCAAGCATATATGTATTACAAAAAGCGAAGGAAATTTGACAAAAATTTCTGATAAAAGAAAATTTAAATAAAGCGTTACGAAGTGCACCATTCGGAATAATTCAGTCTTCGTCATCTTTGCTGGCCCGTTGAAGATTAACAACTAGCAACCAGACATTTTGCTGCCAGTAGAAAGTTCTCAGCCGTTTACATTCTCTGTTCCTAGAGGCTGATTTAAAATTTTCTCGTTTTGTAGCCAGGGAATTTATCGATGTGAACTACAGCTCCAATCTAACTCTGGCGAAATTCTAATATTTGGGTACATTTGCATGAATCCAAGGAATCTTACGCGTTCTTAACTTTCTGTGATGTTTTACTGAAGAAGTATGACAGTTTTCCCTCTTGCGTTTTTCACGTAATTGTTCAGGAAGACTCTGCAAGACCTGCAAACTTCGTATATTCTTCTCTTCTTCGGTTGTGCCGGTTGACGTCTGGCAGAAGGTAAGTGAAATTTTAACCACGACAATGATGAAGAGGAGATTTGCCATTTATGCCTTTTGTTGAAATCTCAATAGCGTTTTCATCCCCACTAGACTTCACTTTTTGTGGATATCATTGATGAAACTGCGCCAAAGACCAAGGTTACTTGCCGGAAAGTCTCAAACTTCTACATACCTATATTTATTGGCGAAAAATTAAGTTGAAATTCTGTCATGTCGCTCACAGTTTCTTCGACGAGTTTCTGTGTTTTTTCTTCGATAAAGGTTTCAATTTGCTCATGGTTTTCCCTTCAGTTGAATATAACCGACACATCTAAGATCTCATGCCTTATTTACAACGCGCCTTTGTGAGAGAGGATAAAGTGTCTCTCTTGGCTTTCGTTGTCCGGCCTCCTGCAGTAGCTGGAGTTAAGCCCAAGGTAATGGAATTAACTCCCTCAAGGCCTTCGAGGTCCTAGGAAGTCTGAGGTTCCATACCTCACGGGAAATCAGATTTTTTTTCCATTTTCCTCTCTCTCGAGACAAGACCGAAACAAACACTTTTTTTCTTCAATTTTACTACCGAGTTCAAATTTTATACCTCTACTAATCTTACTCTCTCAACACTCTCGAAACTGCTGATCCAAGCAGAGTGTCTCGATGAGATGATAGCTTACTCGACTCAAAGTTAAATTCCTTCTGTTACAGTTAACAGAGATGTTAAAATTAATCATTTTCGATTGTTTTGAAAATTTAAGCCTGTCACCTATGAAAGTAGCCCACCCACTCATCACAGAGTCTCCGTGGCAACACAGCGGTCAAACGTCAAGCATGCGTAAGTGGTTCAATTTTGGACAATTGCGCGTCAATTTCCCGCGCAAAATTTCTCATCCCCTTGAGGGACAGTTTCATGATGAATTGATCATTGCAACTTTGCTAACTTTTCCAAAGACTTAAACTTTTATTTGTAGCACTTAGTTATACTTTATCAAGACGGTCCCCAAGAAGCACTTACAACTTCTTCTCTACTACGCGTTTAAGAAATTATCAATAGCTCCAATGCTGAATTTTTAGGCAAATGCTAGCCCTTACATTTGTAGCGTACCCTGGCTTGTTTATGACTCCCTCATTTAAGATAACAAATCAGTGGCCGCGTTCTCTTCAAGTAGCGAAGTTTTAGCGACATATAATTAGGGCATCGATAAAATGAACAATCATATTAAAATGTTCACTGATTTGCAAGTAAATTAGTATTCCTATGTTTTAACATATTCTATAGTTTTATCATCCTTCCTCTCCTGACCTGTGAAATGCAATGAAAAAAATTATTGTTTATCAGGTTCAGAATGTACTTGAAAGTGCAAAAGATTGAGTTAGCTGTCTGCGCCCTGACATCAGTATGCATATTCCTGTTCTCTAGACATTTCCTAAGGTGCTAATAAGGATAATTTGTTCAGTAGTGAAGAGGTTCTTTAGTTGCTGATCATTCCTTTAATCTCGTGCCAGAATTGTTTGTGTCGGGATTGATATTGTAAGGAGAAATTAGGTTTTAGTCACTTTTGGGGGTCAAAGAAGGGTGAAGGCGATAATCAGTTGAGTGTTGAGGGAATCTTCAAGATGTTTCTCTATGTCACTGCAATTTATTTTCCTCTTCATGTTATAATAAAGTTTGCTGTATGTCTGTTCAGTTACGCATATATGCAACGAATAAATTATGGTTATACAAGGGGAGATTATCTTTGCTTGAGTTAAGAAACCACTGATACACATGCCTGCGCCGCGTATGTCACTAATTTTTGTTCAAACCGCGTAATACACACGCAAACGGCATAAAAAGACGATACTTCCACTTACTATGTCTTTCTTCAAATAAAAACAGCGTCCGTTAACTCTGATACATTCGGTGAATCCCTTGTTGTCGTTTCCATCCTTGTGTCTTCTGACAGCGACCCCACATATCTTTTCCCATTGCTCTTGGTATCTGGCTTTTTTTGTTTATTTCTTCGCAGAATCCAACGACGGGAGTGAAATCGAAAAGGTTTATTGCTTTCGGAGTTGATTGTCATAATTAAATTACAGAGGAGTAGGATAAACAGGAAAACGAAGAGAGGCCTGGACGACTTCATGACTCAAGTTCTGAGGAAAAAAAGGGCCAAGATCATTAAAAATTGTCATCATTGTGCGTCACAATCATCGTTTCTTCGTGTAACTTTATATTCATTCATTCAACTCCCATAACGCATACCTCGTTCCCAACAAGTAACCTCGCAACTCCGATTGATAGTAGCGCCCGACTAGTCTCTGGTAACAAGGTTTTGATTTAGAATCCCGTCGAAGCTTGAATTTTTTCTGGCTTTTTTCTGCATACGCTATAACTTGCCGAGACCCTTCGAAGAGGTACGCAAGAATTAGTTCTGCCCTAAGGATTGTGTACATGTACTGGATTCAAAAATGCCGGGTGGATAACAAGATTTTAAACCATTTAAAAAAAAAAAAAAAAAAAAGCTTAACGCAAATTGCAGATTGAAATGAAATGTTATTGATCAGCACGATCACTTAACTTATCAGAAGTAAATTATACACGATTCGCTATTAATTTAATTAGTTGCTCGCCGTTAAGAAGATTTCTACCGCAATGTTCTTTCACGGTAACTGGCTCTTACCGTACTCGATTCATAACTTCATTGTTTTTCTTTCCTTCATACAATGTTTGTGTCGTTGTCACTGATTTTGTGCATCCATACTGTTAACATGGATTCCCGTGTGAAAAATTATCTGGCATAAGCTCAATTCGTACACAAGCGTTCTAAAATCAATTAACTCAGAAACTGTTTTATTTTAACATGCAGTGGTTGAAATTAAATTGAAAGCAGCAGGAGTCTCACGCAATAATACGGTTTTCAAAACCAAGTGAATTATCACCTACATTTCAGGTGTTCCCTCAACTAATAGCCTAAAAACGTCTTTAGTTACCTCATTTTCATGATAAAGTTAATGGCAGCTGCTAATCAAAAGTTTCAACAATCTTCCCATACAATGGCAGGTTAAATTTCCTCCATTGACTTTGTGATCGACGCTTGCTAACGTGTATTCATTTTGATGCAGGATTGCAAAAGCTAACAAGCTCTTTCGTCAGATCAAACGCTAATGGCCCCTGATGTGCACAAAAGAGCTACTTTAACAACGACATCTTTGAGGTGGT